AATATGAAAATATAAACCCGACTTTCAATTAACATTCAGGATATGATAGCCAATTATATTCATGTTATTAAATGTTATGTTTATTATAGAATATTACATGCTTGGTAAAAGACTCCCTCTGTATTGTGTATTATTCCTTTGAATACTTAAATTTGGGTAAATTAATGTAGTTGTTTTCAAATATAGGTCTTGATTTATTGTTTGTGGGTAAACTTTTCAAATGATTTAATATTATTACATTTATTTATTTTTTTAAAGTAAAACTTAAAAAAATAGATTAATATGTCACAAAAATACCAACATATTAAAATATTTCTCAAAATATTAAATCAATGTCAAAGTTCATCTAAAAATATTAAACCATTTTAAAAAACATTTCCAAAAATAATAAATCGAGACCATTAGGTAATATTAAAGTATTCATATAAAGCTACAGAGAGTGGAAGAACACATCCCCCCTTACCCCCCCTTGCCCCCCCCCCCAAAAAAAAAGAGAGGAAAATTACATTCTGTCTTGAGGGAGTTTTCGCAAATATTCTTCCACAATCACTTGTAGAGTCAGAATTTTTTGTGAAGCACAAATGAGATGGACTAGTCTAGATCCCGAAGAACCCACGTCATTCCCACACACCAATACTGCAGTGGTCCGTCTAACCTAGTAATAAACTGGAGGGATTTCGTCCGTTCTTCACAGGGGTGAGGGTAACATAAATGTAAAGAACATGACTTGCCCCTGATCCATCCACCTGGGCTGTTGATATGGTGTATGATTGCATGAAATGGCTTTTCTATAGACATACTAAACATGTTTATATACAATTTTTTATAAAGCATTATAATATTAAAATAATCTATAATTATAGGTGTTATGAGTACGGCAATACGACGCACACTCCAGACGGTAGATTATATAGATTTTACTTAGCTTGAAACATTAACAATTACATAATGCTTAGTTTGGTTTAGATGATTCACAAGAGGCATGTTTTTAAAAAAGTCGTGTAACCCCCTCTCCCGTTTACTTTCTGTACCCTACCCACCTTGAAAAATTTTCAATAAACAACGAATTGGGGAAAAAAAGACGTGTAAGTTCTCTGTACATTACACCATTAGAAAAAGAATTAGGAAATCACATGTAAATTCTTTTTACTGCCGTAGTCCTATTCTATACGGATAATAGGAAGCACTTATACACACTTTAACAGGTAGGTACCATGCTAACAGGTATATATACAGACAGCATGTGACAGGTCCCAGGGGTGACAGGTCCCAGGGGTGACAGGTCCCAGGGGTGACAGACATTCTTTGATTGATATAATGATCGCTTCATTACACCATTACTTACCACCCATATTGCTATATTCATACCAATGGGTGGGATCGGTGGGGTTATCTTTAAAGCATATCCCTCACAATTGTTGTTGCTACAAAGACTGCAGAGTCCGTTGCTAATGCTAGAAAGGCTGTAGGGCTTATTGTAACATTTGCTTGCTGGGTCATTTTAGTAGTATCTAGAAATGACTGGGTTCATGTAGCTCGGTTATAAGTAGATATCACGCCCTGATAATAGCTCTAAGGTGGGGCAATGCACATTATAGGTAGGTGATTTCTGGGGCTGTCTGTAGGTTGCTGTAAAGTCCTGTTTTGGAGTAGCAATGGTTGGGGAGAGAGCTCTGTTTTTGAAGTATTATATATTACACGTGGGTCCTAATTGTGCACTATTGTGGTTTACAGGAGGATTCTGTTTATAAAGCAGTTTAGGTTAAAAAGGATACTATAGTCACCGGCACAACTTTATCTTAATTAAGCAGTTTTGGTGTAGCAGTTTTTCCTTAGTTCTCTGCTATATAGGAGTTAAATCACTTTTGTTTCTGTTTATGCAGCCCTAGTGACACCTCTCTTGGCTGTGACTGACACAGCCTGCATTAATACAAAAAGGTCTAATTTTCTACAAGATGTTATAACACAGTGTGTTTACTTTAGATGTTTTTATCTCCTGCTCTGTAAATTGAACTTTATTCACACACAGGAAGCTCTTGCAGCCCTAGCAGACTATAAACAGAGTAAGAGATATTTCTAAATTAACAATTAAGGAAGTCTAAATATTAGATCTCACTTTACAGGAAGTGTTTAGGAAGGCTGTGTAAGTTACATGCAGGGAGGTGTGACTAGGGCTGTATAAACAAAGTGATTGAACTACTAAATGGCAAAGAATGAAGTAGTGAGCCTGCAGGAGCACGATCTATAACCAAAACTGCTTCATTAAGCTAATGAGCGTCCCTTTAAAAGAGGGTCCTGTTTGTACAGCAAAGCAGGTTACAGGAAGATCTTATTTTGTGAGCAATGTATATTACTGGAATGTCTTATTTCTGTAGCTATGTAGGTTCCAAGAGTGTCCTGTTCTGGAGCAGTGTAATTTTCAATGGGATACTATTAATCTAGCAGGGTGGGTAAGAGTAAGGTAATGCTCTGGAGACAGGTACGGTTAAGTCTTGTTTTTGGATCACGGTAGATTTCAGTCGGATCTTATTCTGGAGATATACAGGTTAAAGGAGGGGTGTGTTCTTGCACAGAGCAGGTTACAGGGTTGTGCTCTGGAGCCGAGTACTTACTGGAAGGTCTTGTTACTAAATCACTGTAGGTTATTAGAGTGTTTCTTTCTGGAGCACTGTGATTATCAGTGGGATCCTGTTCTAGATTAGTGCAGCGTACATGGGGGTTCCCTTACTGGAACTGTGTACTTGTTAGTGCCATCCTATTGTGGAGTAGGGTAGGTTACAGGTGGGCCCTGTTTTGGAGCAGTGTAATGAACCAGTGCAGGGTTCTGGAAGAACCTGATCCAGAGCAGTTTGTGGGAGGTAAACTCTTTTTACAAGGGGGTTTATAGAAAATAATTATTCAAGAATAGGAACCTGAATGGTGTTCGACCACAGCTATCAGCAGGGTAACCCTCATTAACCCCTCACATACCACCATCCTTAGTATGTGCAGAGCAACCTCATTGCAATAAAATGGTACTTTATCCACATTAACCCTTCCCTCCCCTGGAAACATGTTCTGTGCCAACTGTGCAGGTGTCCAGTGAATGTATCCAGTGAATATGCAGCGTGTGTTTCTATATGTCTGTGTCCAGTGAATGTATCCAAGGAATATGCAGTATGTGTATCCAGTGAATATGCAATGTGTGTATCCAGTGAATATGCAGTGTGTGTATCCAGTGAATATGCAGTATGTGTATCCAGTGAATATGCAGTATGTGTATCCAGTGAATATGCAGTGTGTGTATCCAGTGAATATGCAGTATGGATATCCAGTGAATATGCAGTGTGTGTATCTAGTGAATATGTCGTCAATGTATCAAGTGAATATGCAGTATGTGTATCCCGTGAATATGTAGTGAATGTATCCAGTGAATATGCAGTGTGTGTATCCAGTGAATATGCAGTGAATGTATCCAGTGAATATGCAGTGTGTGTATCCAGTGAATATACAGTATGTGTATCTAGTGAATATGCAGTGTGTGTATCCAGTGAATATGCAGTGTGTGTATCCAGTGAACATGCAGTATGTGTATCCAGTGAATATGCAGTGTGTGTATCCAGTGAATATGCAGTGTGGATATCCAGTGAATATGCAGTATGGGTATCCAGTGAATATGCAGTGAATGCTTCTATATGACTGCATCAAGTTTATATGCAGTGTGCCCTTTTTGTATGAATGTATCCAGTGAATATGCAGTGTATGTTTCTATATGTCTGTGTCCAGTGAATATAATGGACCAGTGCAGGGTTCTGGAAGAACCTGATCCAGAGCAGTTTGTGGGAGGTAAACCCTTCCCTCCCCTGGAAACATGTTCTGTGCTGCCTGTGCAGGTGTCCAGTGAATGTATCCAGTGAATATGCAGTGTGTGTTTCTATATGTCTGTGTCCAGTGAATGTTTCTAAGTGGATGTATCCAGGGAATATCTAGTGAATGTTTCTTTCTGACTTTGTCCTGTGAGTATGCAGTATTTGTATCCAGTGAATATGCAGTGCATGCTTCTATATGACTGAATCCAGTGAATATGTAGTGAATGTATCCAGTGAGTTTTCTATGATTGTTTACAGTGAAAATGCAGTGAATGTATCTAGTGAACATGCAGTGACTATTTCTATATGAATGTATCCAGTGACCATGCAGTGAATGCATGCAGTGTATCTATGTGGTGACTGGTTCTATAATGAATGTATCCAATGACTATGCAGTGTATCTATGTGGTGACTGGTTCTATAATGAATGTATCCAGGGAACATGCAGTGTATCTATGCAGTGACTGGTTCTATAATGAATGTATCCAGGGAACATGCAGTGTATCTATGCAGTGACTGGTTCTATAATGAATGTATCCAGTGACTATGTAGTGTATCTATGCGGTGACTGGTTCTATAATGAATGTATGTAGGGAACATGCAGTGTATCCATGCAGTGACTGGTTCTATAATGAATGTATCCAGGGACTATGCAGTGAATGCATCCAGTGACCATACAGTTAATGTATCCAGTGACAATGCAGTGAATGCATCCAGTGACCATGCAGTGAATGTATCCAGTGACCATGCAATGAATGCATCCAGTGACAATGCAATAAATGCATCCAGTGATGGTCATATCCAGGGACTATGCAGTGACTGTATCCAATGACAATGCAGTGAATGCATCCAGTGACCATGCAGTGAATGTATCCAGTGACTATGCAGTGAATGCATCCAGTGACCATGCAGTGACTGTATCCAGTGACTATGCAGTGAATGCATCCAGTGACAATGCAGTGAATGCATCCAGTGACCATGCAGTGACTGTATGTGTGATGCTGGACTCCTGTCTCGGTATTAAACAAGCCTATCTGTCTAATCAGAGTCTCCCCTCCCATTGTCTGAGCAGCACAGTCAGTTAATGCAGATTCCCAGCCCAGCTCTCTGCATCCATCCCCTCCCTCCCTGCCTGTGTCTCTGCTCCCCTCTGGATCATTCATGTGATTCTCCCTCCCTCCTGATCAGGGCTCTGCGGTGCTGGCTGTGTTTTGGGGAAGAAGGAAGGATCCTGAGACAGAGACCCCCAGACCCCAGAACTGGACAAGGGAAGCTGCAGCCTGCAGGTAAGTGTCCTTACTGTCTCTCTAATAACTGCATGCTGCATGACTCACCTCACAGGTTACATTATCATATGGACCCCCCCATATAAACCCCCATATTCCCCCCCTGTAGATCCCCCCAAGTGAGGGGGGGGGGGGATTCTGCAGTCATGCAGTGTGTCTCAGTGCCCTGTTGCTATGATGTGTGAGTTGGTGCAGAGCGATGTGTGACTGCAGTGAGGGTGAGCTGCTCTCCAGCCCTGGTACCCAGCAGCATCTGTTACCTGCTAAATGCTCTGCAGCCCCAGTACCCAGCAACACCTGTTACCTGCTAAATGCTCTGCAGCCCTAGTACCCAGCAACACCTGTTACCTGCTAAATGCTCTGCAGCCCTAGTACCCAGCAACACCTGTTACCTGCTAAATGCTCTGCTGCCCTAGTACCCAGCAACACATGTTACCTGCTAAATGCTCTGCAGCCCTAGTACCCAGCAACACCTATTACCTGCTAAATGCTCTGCAGTCCTGGTACCCAGCAGCATCTCTTACCTGCTAAATGCTCTGCAGCCCTAGTAACCAGCAGCACATGTAACATGCTAAATGCTCTGCAGTCCTGGTACCCAGCAGCACATATTACCTGCTAAATGCTCTGCAGCCCTAGTAACCAGCAGCACCTGTTACCCGCTAAATGCTCTGCAGCCCTGGTACCTAGCAGCACGTTACCTGCTAAATGCTTTGCCGCCCTAGTACACAGCAGCACCTGGTACCTGCTAAATGCTCTGCAGCCCTAGTACCCAACAGCACATGTAACCTGCTAAATGCTCTGCAGTCCTAGTACCCAGCAGCACCTGTAACCTGCTAAATGCTCTGCAGTCCTGGTGCCCAGCAGCACCTGTAACCTGCTAAATGCTCTGCAGTCCTGGTACCCAGCAGCACCTCTTACCCGCTAAATGCTCTGCAGCCTTAGTAACCAGCAGCACCTGTAACCTGCTAAATGCTCTGCAATTCTGGTACCCAGCAGCACATGTTACCTGCTAAATGCTCTGCAGCCCTAGTAACCAGCAGCACCTCTTACCTGCTAAATGCTCTGCAGCCCTAGTACACAGCAGCACCTGTTACCTGCTAAATGCTCCGCAGCCTTAGTACCCAACAGCACCTGTTACCTGATAAATGCTCTATAGCCCTGGTACCCAGCAGCACCTGCTACCTACTAAATGCTCTGCAGCCCTAGTATCCAGCAGCACCTGTTACTTACTAAATGCTCTGCAGCCTAGTACCCAACAGCACCTGTTACCTACTAAATGCTCTGCAGCCCTAGTACCCAGCAACACCTGTTACCTGCTAAATGCTCTGCAACCCTGGTACCCAGCAGCACCTGTTACAAGCTAAATGCTCTGCAGCCCTGGTAACCAGCAGAACCTGTTACCTGCTAAATGCTCTTCAGCTGTAATACATAGCAGCACCTGTTACTTGTTCTGCTCTGCACTTTGTTATCAAGCACCATGTTGCCTTATCCCTCTCATGCTCTGCAGCCCTAATACGTAGCAGAGCTTGCTCCATGCGCTGCAGCTTTCAAACTTAGCAGAGCCTGCTACCTGCTCTGCAGCTCTCATCTGCCTAGCAGTCTGCTCCCTGCTCTGCACCTCTCATACCTAGCAGAGCCTTTTTCTCTGCTCTGCAGCTCTCATACCTAGCAGAGCCTGCCCCCTACTCTGCAGCTCTCATACCTAGCAGAGCCTGCTCCCTGCTCTGCAGCTCTCATACCTAGCAGAGCCTGCTCCCTGCTCTGCAGTATTAATGTCCCCCAGTTACAGTGCTGTGCTCTGCAGAGCCTATTACCTTTCCTGCTGTGCAGTGCGCTGTCTGTGGTGCTGAATGTGGGCCGTGGCATGCTGACTCTCCAGGGAGCGCTGTATATAGGAATGTAGGCTGATACTGAGTATCTGGATCACTGAGAGCCCTGACACCATGCCTGATAGTCACACAGTGATTACATGTTAGATTCACCCTGACACTAGGTGTCTCTCACCACCTGCCAGTGGGCACAGACTGAACCAACTCCCATCACTCTCATAACACATCTAGCTGGGTGTCAGCTAATCCATACTCTCCATGGTAAATAATAATGGGCCTGTATGTCCCTGCCAGTCTAATCCAGGATACCAAATGGGGGGAAAGTGTTGCTTTAATATTGAGGGCCTTCTTACTGTGAGATTTGGGGACAGATAAACGAAACATTAACTCCCAGAAGAAACCATTTATATCTGAACAATATTCCTAAACTATTATCTTATTAACCAGGCAGTAATCATCTTAGAGAGAGACTGTGTGCTTATATACTGCACACAAATAACAGCAATTAACTGCATTAAATACATAGTGTATATACAAGAATAGTATGATATAGAGTTCAGAATGAATAACTAACTGTTACCCAGATACCATGTGCCCATGTGTGTAAAGTATCACAGCTTTATTGTTATCTGTGTGTATAATGTGAATAATGTTTATTTCACATGTGGGGTGGTAGATAAAGCATTGTTATTGTGTGTATAATATATTTGTGTTTATATCACTTGAAGTATTGTTATCTATCACTATGATTACTGTGTGTATAATATGTTACAGTGCTTATATTACATGTGAACTCAAGGAAAACGTGTTGCCAGTCACTGTATATATGATGTGTTATAGTGTGTACATATATATCACACGTGGAGTGATGGGTGAAGTATTGAATGTTTACTGTCTATGTAATATCAGTGTATAATATGTTATAGTGTATATATCACACGTGGAGTGATGGGTGAAGCATTGTTTACTGTGTATGTAATATGAGTGTATAATATGTTATAGTGCATATATCACACGTGGAGTGATGGGTGAAGCATTGTTTACTGTGTATGTAATATGAGTGTATATATCACACGAGTGATGGGTGATGCTTTGTTTATATTCTATATAATCCATGTTACAGTGGATATCACATGTGAAGCTCACATATTATATACTTTACATGTACAATGACATATTACTCAATGCTGCTTACTGCTCAGTGTTTTGTTTATCATGGACATATTACAAGATATTACAGTGTAAATCTTACTGAACATTTAGGTAATTTAGGGGCCAGGTTTCATGGGTGTCCTGATCACAGGGATCTCCTGTTATCCAACCAATATCATCCCTCATTGATCAGGCAGACCCCCTGATCACAGGGATCTCCTAAATGTTATCTAACCAATATCATCCCTCATTGATCAGACAGACCTCCTGATTACAGGGATCTCCTAACTGTTATCCAACCAATATCATCCCCTCATTGATCAGACAGACCCCCTGATCACAAGGATCTCCTAACTGTTATCTAACTAATATCATCCCTCATTGATCAGACAGACCCCCTGATCACATGGATCTCCTAACTGTTATCTAACCAATATCATCCCCTCATTGATCAGACAGACCTCCTGATCACAGGGATCTCCTAACTGTTATCCAACCAATGTCATCCCCTCATTGATCAGACAGACCCCCTGATCACAAGGATCTCCTAACTGTTATCTAACTAATATCATCCCTCATTGATCAGACAGACCCCCTGATCACATGGATCTCCTAACTGTTATCTAACCAATATCATCCCCTCATTGATCAGACAGACCTCCTGATCACAGGGATCTCCTAACTGTTATCCAACCAATGTCATCCCCTCATTGATCAGACAGACCCCCTGATCACAAGGATCTCCTAACTGTTATCTAACTAATATCATCCCTCATTGATCAGACAGACCCCCTGATCACAGGGATCTCCTAACTGTTATCTAACCAATATCATCCCCTCATTGATCAGACAGACCTCCTGATCACAGGGATCTTCTAACTGTTATCTAACCAATATCATCCATCATTGATCAGATAGACCCCCTGATCACAGGGATCTTCTGTTATCTAACCAATATCATCCCCTCATTGATGAGACAGACCCCCTGATCACAGGGATCTCCTAAATGTTATCTAACCAATATCATCCCTCATTGATCGGATAGACCTCCTGATCACAGGGATCTTCTAACTGTTATCTAACCAATATCATCCCTAATTGATCAGACAGACCTCCTGATCACAGGGATATCCTGTTATCCAACCAATATCATCCCTCATTATTCAGACAGACCTCCTGATCACATAGGCCTCCAAACTGGTATCCAACCAATATTATTCTATATTGATCAAAAATACCTCCTGATTACATGGCTCTCCTAACTGTTATCCAGCCAATAACATCCTCTATTGATCAGACAGACCTCCTGTTCACATGGACCTCCTAAGTGGTATCTAACCAATATCATTCTATATTAATCAAAATACCTCCTGTTCACATGAACCTCCTAACTGGTATATAACCAATATCATTCTATATTGATCAAAAGACCTCCTGTTCACATGGACTTACTAACTAGTATGTAACCAATATCATCCCCTATTGGTCAAATGGACCTCCTAACTGGTATCCAACCAATATTATTCCCTATTGATCAGACCGACCTCCTGATCACATGGCTCTCCTAACTGTTATCCAACCAATATCATCCCCTCATTGATCAGACTAACCTCCTGATCACATGGACCTCCTAAATGGTATCTAACCAATATCACCCTCTATTGATCAAACCAACCTCCTGATGACATGGACCTCCTAAATGGTATCTAACCAATACTATTCCCTGTTGCTCAGACTGACTTCCTGATCACATGGACCTCCTAACTGGTATCTAACCAATATTATTCCCTATTGATCAGACTGACCTCCTGATCACGTGGACCTCCTAACTGGAATCCAGCCAATATCATCCTCTATTGATCAGACTGACCTCCTGATCACATGGACCTCCTAACTTGTATCTTACCAATATCACCAGAATGACTGGATGAACCAAACTAAGTTGGCTTGATTAGCTGTGAAATTGCTTAATTTTCAATTAGGGTTTGTGGGAAATATAGTAATCTTACATAGTTACATTTTAATCTAGGTTGAAAAAAGACTAAAGTCTATCAAGTTAAACCTTAATATAAATAACCTCTAAATGTCCTTCAGATTGCCCAAATTCAGGATCAGACTTTGTTCCAAATTCTGAAATTTATCAAACTCGTCTCCTTTAAAAAGTGGAACAAAAACCATAAACAGTGCGATTCCTACTGTCAAGGTTATTGCCCAAATATTGTAGTGACTTGAACTTTGAATTTGAAATACAAGCGAGTGCTATTCTAGCTACAGAGTGACAATTTTAGCCTAAGTGTTGTTATTCATATTCTATCTTGCTGTAATTCGAGTTTAATTAATAATTTTGTGTAACACATGTTATTATAGATGGATCATGTGTCGCCTGAACAATGAAGTCTTGTCCAGCACCATATTTAATGTGTATAATGCATGATATGGTCTATTTATTGCATGCTATGCTGTATAAATAGTGCATGCTACGGTGTATAAATATTACATGCTATGGTATATATATCATGCTACAGTGTATATATTACATGTTATGGTGTGTATATTACATGCTATAGTGTATAGAGTGCGCTAAGCACTCTGTGGAAACGGCACTGACCAAAGTATCCAATGATCTACTCGCTGCAAAATCTCGTGGTCACTACTCTATCCTAATTCTCCTTGACCTGTCTGCGGCTTTTGACACTGTTGATCATCAACAGCTTCTTCTCATCTACAGCTTCTTCTCATCTACAAGATATTGCTCTCTCCTAGTGCTCCTCCTAACTCGCCCAGCGCTCTTTCAGTGTTTTTTTTTTTTCTGGCTCTGCTTCTTCTCCCCAACTCCTCTCTGTTGGTGTCCCCCAAGGTTCAGTCCTTGGTTCCCTCCTGTTCTCCATCTATATGGCCTCCCTTGGTAAACTCATTAGCTCCTTTGGCTTCCAATATAATTTCTATACGGATGACACGCAAATCTATCTGTCCTCTCCTGATCTCTCCCCGTCCCTCTTGACTAGTGTCTCTGACTGCCTCTCTGCTATTTCTAACTGGATGGCTGCCCACTTCCATAAATTAAACTTGACCAAAACTGAAATTCTGGTCTTTCCTCCCTCAAGTGTTGTTACTCCTGTGTCTGTCTCCCTCCAAGTCAACGGTGCTACCATCAGCTCCACCATGCAGGCTCGCTGCCTAGGTGTTCTCTTTGACTCCGACATCTCCTTCAAGCCTCATGTTCAGCCTATTGCCAAATCCTGTCATTTCCATCTCAAAAACATTGCGTGCATCTACCCCTACTTAACGCCAGATGCGACTAAGGTGTTGGTCCATTCCACTGTCCTTTCTCGCCTTGACTACTGTAATCCGCTTCTCAGTGGTCTTACATGCTCCCAACTTCCTCCATCGCAGTCCATAATGAATGCGGCAGCGAGGCTTATCTTCCTGCCCGCCCGCACCTCCCATGCCTCACCTTTCTGTCACTCCCTACATTGGCTTCCTATAAAATATAGAGCTCAATTTAAAATTCTGGTTCTTGCTTTCAAATCGCTACATAATGCTGCTCCCACCTATCTATCCTCCCTTATACACAAGTATGTCCCGTCTAGGCCCTTACGATCTGCTGAAGACTTACGTCTATCTTCTGTCCGTACTCCCACCTCTGATGCTCGTCTTCAAGATTTCTCAAGGGCTGCACCGTTCATGGAACTCGCTTCCCTCCGCCGTTAGATGCTCACCCAGTCTCCACTCCTTCAAAAAATTGTTAAAAACCCCCTTCTTCATAAAAGCGTATCAGTTAAACTGTTAATAGCTCCTGACTGATTCCTCTTCTGCAACTGTCACTAGTCTAATACTATCCTTACCTTTTTGTGTCATTTTACCCCACTCATTGTAAAGCGCTGCGGATTTGATGGCGCTATATAAATAACATAATAATAATATTACATGTTATGGTATGTATATCATGCTACAGTGTATATATTACATGTTATGGTGTATATATTACATATTATAGTGTGTGTGTGTATGTATATATATATATATATATAACATGCTACTGTGTTTATATTACCTTTTATGGTGTATGCATTGCATGCTATGGTGTATATGTTACATGAGGGATAGTGAATGAAGCCTTATTGTTAGCATGTTTAATAAGTATATATTACATAGGGAGAAATGAATGAAGTCTTATGTGATATTTAAAATAGACTGTATATATAACATACTTTGTTATACAGGTGATACTCGAAAAATTAGAATATCGTGCAAAAGTTAATTTATTTCAGTAATGCAACGTAAAAGGGGAAACTAATATATGAGAGACGCATTACATGCAAAGCAAGATAGTTCAAGCTGTGATTTGCCATAAGTGCGATGATTATGGCTTGCAGCTCATGAAAACCCCAAATCCACAATCTCAGTAAATTAGAATATTACATGCAATTAATAAAACAAGGAGTGTACATAGAACAATATCGGACCTCTGAAAAGTATAAGCATGCATATGGACTCAGTACTTGGTTTGGGCCCCTTCTGCAGCAATTACTGCCTCAATGCAGCATGGCATGGAAGCTATCAGTCTGTGGCACTGTTGAGGTGTTATGAAAGACCAGGACGCTTCAATAGCAGCCTTCAGCTCTTCTGCATTGTTCTGTCTCATGTCTCTCATCTTTCTCTAGGCAACGCCCCATATATTCTCTATGGGGTTCAGGTCAGGCGAGTTTGCTGGCCAATTAAGCACAGTAATCCCACGGTCATTGAACCAGGCTTTGGTGCTTTTGGCAGTGTGGGCAGGTGCCAAGTCCTGCTGGAAAATGAAGTCAGCATCCCCATAAAGCTCGTCTGCGGAAGGAAGCATGAAGTGCTCCAAAATCTCCTGGTAGATCGCTGCATTTACCCTGGACTTAATGAAGCACAGTGGACCAACACCAGCAGATGACATGGCTCCCCAAATAAACACAGACTGTGGAAACTTCACACTGGACTTCAAGCATCTTACAGTGTGTGCCTCTCCATTCTTCCTCCAGACTCTGGGTCCTTGGTTTCCAAATGAAATGCAAAATTGTTCTCATTAGAAAAGAGGACTTTGGATCACTGAGTAACAGACCAGGTCTGTTTTTCTTTAGCTCAGGTAAGATGCTTCTGACGTTGTTTGTTGTTCAGGAGCGGCTTGACAAGAGGAATACGACATCTGAATCCCACGTCCAGGATCCGTCTGTGTGTGGTGGCTCTTGATGCACTGACTCCAGCCTCAGTCCACTCCTTGTGAAAGTCCCCAACACTTTTGAATGGCCTTTTCCTGATAATCCTCTCCAGGCTGCGGTCATCCCTGCTGCTTGTGCACCTTTTTCTTCCACACTTTTCCCTTCCACATAACGTTCTATTAATGTGCTTTGATACAGCACTTTGGGAACATCCAACTTCCTTCGCAATTACCTTTTGAGGCTTTCCCTCCTTATGGAGGGTGTCAATGATGGTTTTCTGCACAACTGTCAGGTCAGCAGTCTTCCCCATGATTGTGATTCCTACTGAACCAGACTGAGAGACCATTTAAAGGTTCAGAAACCCTTTGCAGGTGTTATGGCTTACTTAGCTGATTAGAGTGGGACACTGTGAGCCTAGAATATTGCACCTTTTCACAATATTCTAATTTACTGAGATTGTGGATTTGGGGTTTTCATGAGCTGTAAGCCATAATCATCGCACTTATGACAAATCACGGCTTGAACTATCTCGCTTGGCATGTAATGCGTCTCTCATATATTAGTTTCCCCTTTTACGTTGCATTACTGAAATAAATGAACTATTGCACGATATTCTAATTTTAGCGTATCACCTGTATAAATTACATTCTGTGGGGTGTATATCACTTGCTGTTGTCTATATAATACACTCTATGGTGTGTGTGTATATATAATATTATGTGGTCTATATATTACACTTTATGGTGTATATATCACATACTTTTGTAGCGGACCACGGGTAACCCGACTGGTTACCTCCCCTAGTACCTTCCTTCAGCCACTCTGGAACCATCAGCACAAGTGAATACTCATTCCCCCAATAACCAGACGAAACATAGTCCTGGGAGTCAACTGAACTGAACTGTTTAATGGGACATGGTACAGCCAATTTATCCACAGACCTCCATACAATTACACAAAACTTTCACCAATGGGAATACAGAACAGGTCACAGAGAAAGTACTACAAAGCAACAAAGTGATTCCTTACACTAGTTACCACCTCCCCCTGTGCCAATACACCATGACTACAAAAGGTTATCTTGGTTGGACCCCCTGTCCCTTCAGAGCCATCTCTGGTTACATCAGCACAGCCCTTTGCTGTATTAGGTAGACTTGCTGGCTCCCACAGCAGGTGGTCTCTCCCAGTGCAGAATTTAACTCTATTAACACATAATCATTTCACACCTGACTATAGTTTATAGAGCTGCTGCCCCCCCTTTGTTGACCCGCAGCTGGATATACAGACACACACATTGCTATACGTATAATACAGGTACCCAATACAGCGATATCTAGATACATGGAAAACAGTCACAAAAATGGCGCTGCAAGCTTGTGGCTTGCGCCAAACAAATCAGGCCATCCATCACATATAATAGACAGAGCTGTGGCCAGACCCACAATGGGCCTGCAACAAGTCTGTTAGACCCCCCTGAGCCCACAGTCCAAGTGGGTGGGCACATATTGGCATGGTACTCAGTGACGGCGTACCATCACAACTTTGTTGTATATATTACACTTTATGGTGTATATATCACATGTTGTGGTCTATAATATAGTAAATGGTAAGCAATGAACAAAGCTTTATTGCCCAGCACTGTGTTTATTGTATATTATAGTGTACGTATCAAACGTGGAGTAATGGGCGGAGTGTTATTGTCTGGTTCCATGTTTACTGAATAGATAATATTTTATATTCTCTACATGTATCGTGTGGATTCATGGAAGAAGACTCATTATATCTCTTGTTTGTTCTGTCTGTAGATCACCTTGTGAAGTTTACCGATCGACTGCATCTCTGTTTCAGCAATGGATTTCCCTCTGCCCGACACGCCTTTCCAGGCTGACTTCCTGCGGGAGCTGCTCATGAATTCCTCGTTACTTAACCTGAGCTCTCACTGGTTCGCCAATAGCACCGGGGACCGATTCCTTCCACTAGGCATTCAGGTCACCATCGTGGTGGTCTATCTGATCGTCTGTGTGGTGGGACTTGTTGGCAACTGTGCCGTGATGTTTGTCATCGTCAGGTAAGTCACAGTCAGAGCAGGACACGAGTCACCTCTCTTTTCAAGTTTCAGTTTTTTTCCCTAATTTATTGGCAAGTGTAACTTCTAGACTTGAGCACTGTGATAATATTCAGCTCAGCCAAACCAATGTTTCCAAAAAGAAAAATTTGTACAAAATTTTTTTAGGGCCACCAAATTTCGTCCGAATGTCAGTTCGGCTTGGCAGAATTTTGGAACCAGGATTCCGATTTGAGAACTGAATCAGAAGAACAAAAAGCATTATGTATATACTTTCACAGATCCAATGAGAAAGATTAACCAATACAGGGATAACGAGATAAAATATAATACATATATGTAGATTTTATTCACTCCCCCTCCTGTTTCCCCTATATTGATTGCTTCTAACTTGATCTGTGAATACAATCAACACTTAGTGATTGTCCCCTAGTCATTAGTCATCTTTTTTACCATTAAACATCTGTTTTTATTTTGCTGCCACGGGTGTAATTCAGAATCACAATCCCAAACTGAAGACGTTCGACTTTGCACAGCTCGTTTGGTCCATCATTCGGGGATATTTTGGCTCAGAATATGGAAATTCAACCGACCACCTTATTGGCCAAAATTTTGCCGAATTGCGGTCTGGTCCAAAACAAATCTCCAAGTCCAGTAATTTCTATGATATTATATAACTGGTATTGAAGATGGTTCAGGATCATAAACACCGAACACTGTTTCCAGTAGGAGGAACCTTTCCGTGTTTGGATACAGAGTTGGTCTTTTTGTTTTGAACAGAGTGAATTAAAGGGACTTCTGACCTCTCCGGAATTTACACCATAAAAACATTTAAAATTACCTCTAGTTGATAACCTTTTTTCAGGATATGCTTTTTTTTCCTTTTACATTTATACTAAAGATTCAGCAAGGGACATCATAATCCAGTTCAGGCAAGGCACAGCCAGGGCACACAATGCAAATGAAGAGAAGAAATAGAAACATTGTTTAAATGCTCCTCCTCTGTACGCTCTCTCGGTGCCGACTGCCAGGTGCAAAGGGCGGGACTTAAAATTAATAATTTGCTACGTTTCATTTTATTTTTACACCTCAGAATTGCATTTTTTTGAAAAATATATGAATAAGTAAGCATAGTATTAAAATTCTGGGAAGGTTCAATTCCCCTTTAAGAGGCTTGCCAAGGCTAATACTTTCATCTCCGGGCCCCAATTTCAAATCTAAACCTCTACAAAGACAGCTCTTAGTTAAACAAACACTCTAAACCACTTCCTGGTTCCTACTCCGAGCATTCCATATGACATGATAAGGACAGATAAAGCCCCTAATATCTGATTTCAGCCATTAATCGTGGTGTACGGTTATAGTCCCAGAGGAATTTCCTTAGCTATACTTAGCTATCAAAGCTGGATGCTCACCAATTCTACTCTAATGGGATTTATATTCTGACAGATTTCAACCTTTTAGCTGATATACACGGATATGCACTAAAATGTGATTTGTTGGGAATTCAAAGAACGTTTCAAATTTTAGACTGAAATACGTAAACTGAAAATATGGCCAGTTTGGAGAATTCTTCAAGTTCAGCTATTTGGGCCTAAAAAAAACAAAACAAACCGGCATAGAAAAGTAAAGCACTTTGCTAGGTGATTGTTAAAGGGACACTCAACTGCCCAAATACAAAATAAATCAAAATCACTGTTTAGTAGATTTGCCTCAAATGTACATGTACATGCATTTAATTATGTATTTTTTCATTGGAGTTATATCTAAAAACAGTTTATAAAATCTACAGATCTATTGTCTGCAGCCTTTGCAAGCCCTCCCTTTTTAAACCCACCCAGACTTTCTGTGGCTGTCCAATCACAGACTTCCCAATGCAGCTCAATGAGAAGTCTGTGCAAGGCAGGTGTTCTGGGCAATTGCTGTCTCTTAATCCCTTAAGGACCAAACTTCTGGAATAAAAGGGAATCATGACATGTCACACATGTCTTGTGTCCTTAAGGGGTTAAAGGCCATCTGCATTGAGGTAAAGAAACCAGGAAGTAACATTACCTGTTATCTGCTAGAAAGTCAAGGGGGTGTGACCAGATTACTTTATAAAAGTGTCAATTTCTATTGAAATCTGCACTATTTGCAAAATGAAGAAAAAAAAGAGGACACACTGTTCACACATAAAGCTCTCCAGCAATATAAAGTTGTTTAGGGGTCTAGAGTGATTGTTTTGTAAATTGATCTTTCAACATGTGGGAAATGGATATTATGAAAATAATAAATTATAATACTCTTAGCTATTGTTTTGCAGAAGGATCACTACTAAATGGTTTGTAAAGTAAAGTGAAACTGATGATATTTATTGGAAAAAAATCCTGTCCCCACATTGTATAATTTAAATATAAAATGACATGTAATATAGTCTTGCTGTCGGCCATCTTTGGTTGGAAACTCACTTATCAGCAAAAACCGCGCACAACGTGAAGGCCTGAGAGGGCACTATATGAGATACTAGGTGCTTGCACGTGGTGTTAGGATTCATCAACTCATACTGGCTTTTACTTACATGCAGGGTTTCGGTCGGATAAGCTAGGCTTCTGACCAAAAGAGACTTAAATATGGCATCGCATAGAGCAAACAAAAACACAAGGAGACACATTGAAATGAGGCATTCGCTTGGGTAAAAATATATGAAATTCATAAACAATTCATCTCCTAACACCTTCCAAACCTATAAATACCTGCCGCTGTCAATTTATATGTGACAGCTGTAAAAATCAAGCCGCCTGCTTTCTGATTCAAAGCTCTTGTTGTCAAGTGATGTAATGTTTGAGATTCAAAGTTGTCGTTTATATACATATATATATCTGTTAAATTTTGTGAGCTTTGAGTTTGCTGTTTTAGTGAGTGAGTGAATGCGCTGGATAGTATATGATATTTGGGCAGACTAGATGGGCCGAATGGTTCTTATCTGCCGTCACATTCTATGTTTCTATGTTTCTATGTTTCTATATATATATATGAAACCAAGAGGGCTGCACTCACCTGAACATGCATACATTGTAGGGTGCTGCTGGGGCTAAAATATACAACATACAAAATACACAACCCAGCGCACTATATATAGATAGATAGATAGATAGATACACATATATAAACACACAGTATTTCAGACTTTGTTCTAGCCATGTCAGGCTTAAACTTAAAGGTCTACAATACCCATTAAATGTCTGAATATTCTAATCACCAAATTAGTCAACACAACTGGATTTCCCTATACTTGTGATTGTGTCAAACTCACCAAGGAATCTGAAATTCTAGGCTGAAATAGTAAAAATTCTCTAATTTTCCCATTATTCCAGGCCATTTCTGGTCTAATATTAAACATGTTTGCCTATTGCTACAATTTTCAGTTCAGTAAATGAATTACAGGGTAATATCTTCCCCACCTAGCACATTGCAGAATATGACATACCGAGTACATTAATGTGTTCTCCAAATCTCCTCCAAATTTAATATTGAATCTGGCAAGTGTGGAGGAGGCAGGCAACTATCTGGGTTATAAATCTAGGTCCTTCGTAGACTAATGCTTAGTGAGAAATGTTGGTTTGTCCAATCATTTATTTAACGACAGAAACATTTTCGGGATGCCTAAAATTTGGCCGGATGTCAGTTTGACTCAGAAATCAATTCAGAAAATAAATCAGAAGAACAATATAACAAGGTGTGAAAATGGGCCAATCCGTCTACTGCAAAATATATATATATCATATGATATATGATCTAATATGATATAATATAATATGATATGGTGTAATCTAATATGATATGATATAATATGATCTAATCTGATATGATCTAATCCAATCTAATCTGATATGATCTAATCTAATCTAATATGGTATGCTATAATATGGTCTGATATGATATGGTATAATCTAATATGATATGATATAATATGATCTGATATGATATGGTATAAAATAATATTATATGATCTAATCTAATCTAATCTGATATGATATAGTCTGATATGATATGGTATAATCTAATATTATGTTATATAATATGATCTGATATGATATGGTATAATCTAATATGATATGATATAATATGATATGATCTAATCTACTATGATATAATATGGTCTGATATGATATGGTATAATATAATATGATATAATATGATATGGTATGATATGATCTAATCTAATATGATATAATATGATTTTATATGGTCTGATATGATATTTTTATAATATAATGTAATATGATATAATATGGTCTGATATGATATGATATGGTATAATATAATATGATAATACGATATAATATGATCTAATATGATATGGTATGATATGATCTAATCTGATATGATCTAATCTAATTTAATATGATATGAGATAATATGGTCTGATATGATATGGTATAATATAATATGATGTAGTATGATCTAATATGATATGATATAGTATTATATGATATGATATAATCTGATCTCATATGGAATAATATAATATGATATGATATACTATGACATGATATAATATGATCTGATATGATATAGTTTGATGTGATATAGTATGATATGATCTGATATGATATCATATATAATATGGTTTTATATGATATGGTATAATCTAATCTGATATGATATAATATAGTCTGATATGATATAACATGATATGATATAATATGGTCTGATATGATATGGTATTATATAATATGATAAAATATGGTCTGATATGATATGATCTAATATGATATGATATAGTATTATATGATATGATATAATCTGATTTTATATGGTATAATATAATATGATGTTATATAATCTAATATGATATGATATGGTCTGATCTGATATAGTATAATATAATATGATATGATATAGTATGATATGATATAATATGATGTAATATGATACAATATGATACAATATGATACAATATGTGTATATTTTGCAGTACTCTACATTTTCCCACAATTTGGTTCACAGATCACATGAGAACAATAATCAATAGCAGGGTAAACATGAGAAGCGGTACTAATGATTTATTAAATATATAAATATAGATTGTATTTACTGGCCCTCCTGTTTCCCCTGTATTGATCACTTCTCACTTGATCTGTGAGTAAAATAAACACTTAGTGACTGTCCCCTAGCCATCAATTGTCTTTTTTACCCATCAGTCATTCCCATTATTACATCAGACACCTCATTATTACACCAGCTATCCCATTATTTTACTTGGCACCCCATTATTACACTGGCCACCATATTATTACACCAATCACCCCATTATTACACTGAACACCATATTATTTCACCAGTCACCCCATTATTTTACTTGACACCCCATTATTACACTGAACACCATATTATTACACCAGTCACCCCATTATTTTACTTGACACTCTATTATTACACTGAACACCATATTATTACACCAGTCACCCCATTATTTTACTTGACAGCCCATTATTACACTGGCCACCATATTATTACACCAGTCACCCCATTATTTTACTTGATACCCCATTATTACACTGAACACCATATTATTACACCAGTCACCCCATTATTTTACTTGACACTCTATTATTACACTGAACACCATATTATTACACCAGTCACCCCATTATTTTACTTGACAGCCCATTATTACACTGGCCACCATATTATTACACCAGTCACCCCATTATTTTACTTGGCATTTGGAGACTCTGTCTTAAATAAATTATTATTCTGAAGAATATTTACATTTTGTAATATTTTGCTATATTGATATATATGTATTAATAAATATTATTTTTTTTAAATATATTTTATTATTTTGAAAAAATAATTATTAAAAAAAGTTTATCCAAAAATATAAAATCGTTTAAAAAGCTTTTCCAACAATAATAAAATCGAGACCAAAGTGTTTAATGGAAATAATCATTCATGAATCCTCTGCCCATTCTCTGAAAGTTAAAATCCCCTCTCTACGTTAACCTCAACCACTTCCACTGGAAGCAGATTCCCTGTACCCACCACTTCTTGTTGCAGAATAGCCCTATTCCTACCCTATTAATCACGTTTCATGTGCTTTACTGTATTAGCCTCTACCACCTCTGCTGGCAGGAGTTTAATGTATCCACCTCCTTTACTATGGCTCCCCGTGCTGGGCTTAGCCATGCAAGCCTCTCATGTTGTGTAGGATGGATCCTGAGCAGTTGCCACAGAAACCTGTTTCAGTTCATATCAGCCTCCCTGGCCAGCACAGCCCTCCCTTCTTTCAGGTAGCTAGCCAGTTGTGAAAGGAATACAATTGTGCTTCTATGGAAACTCACAGAATTTTAATGATTGACCCAGTGCTGTCAGGAAATGGGAGACATGCAAGTGGGCTGAGGGGAGACCTGCGACATGCTCTACCCTAATGAAATCCAGCCATCGATCGAACCTGCCACTAATCAATGTGTGCTGTGATTAATTAGCATCCTGAACCCTCAACACTTCTCATCATACACAAGGACAGCGTAGGAGAGGGATTGGGGGACTACAGACACCCCGAATGTCGTTACTGAGCTTAGGTTGTCAGATAACACAAATCCCCCCAGTTTTGGATTTATTTATAAATATATAGTTTGCATAAATCCACTGGATCTTTTACGCCTTGTGTTTTGGTTTAGTGTGTCGTTCTTATTTTGTAACAGTCCCCAAGATATGTGACTAACTGTCTTAAATTGTCTTTCTGCTGTTTGTGCAAATCACTATTCATTCATCTATTCGGACCCGATAAATTGTATCTTCAACTAACAAAACCAGAATTGTGGTACCGGTAATTAACAAAACTGGAATTGTGGGAACTAACAAACAAAATTATGGGAATTAACAAAACCAGAATTGTGTGGATTCACAAAACTGGAATTGTGTGAATTAACAAAACTGGAATTTTGGGAATTAACAAAAACAGAATTGTGGGAACTAACAAAAATGGAATAATGGGAATTGGCAAAATGTAGACCAAACTAGCCAATTTAGAAAAATAAATCTCCTTATCAGTGATTTTTCACACTCTGCTATTTTTTCTGTCCTAAACATTGCAATTCTCTTGTTTAATGAATAGTCCCCTTGGAGAATTCCTACAGGATTTGCCTCTTCTCGTTGATAGATTTTGATGATTACTATTGACATCAAATCCCATTATTCATTGAATCCAGAAAATTAATTCACATCGAGCTTGTTTGTACAACACAATTTTCTTTTTCATGTATCTAATTCAGTGATTCTTAATGTTTTTTTGACATGGGCCCAAATTAGACAAATTCCATTAGCGTGGTGACCCAATCATCATTCCCAAATTGAACTCAGTGACCCACAGTGTCGGCGGAGGTCTATACTGCATTGGGGAAATGAATGAAAACAGTAAACAACTTAGAGACGGCTTACTGGAGACTGAATATTATGATCCTTCGGCTCCCACAAGTTATAACCCAAAACAATGATATGAAGTTATGGGTCCTGAACCAAGAGTTAAGAACCAAGGCTCTAATCCACTGTGTTCAGCACCGATAACAAATATAGACCCAGCGTCCTCATCTTTCGAGGGAAGATTTGCTCATACATTCATTCCTTCCTCACCTTTGAAGCTTTTAGCTTCAGAAGGAAGAACGAGGGCGTAGAGGTGAGATAATTACAGATCAGTGAATAATTATTGAGGATTTGTAATAAAACACACAAGGTGGAGCTCTGCAAAGGAAAAACACTCCATAATTTATATGGGGAATATCTCCGAGACGCAAATATGCAAAACAGCGAATAATATTAATGTAAAAATAAAAACTACACAAAAACCTAAAATTCAGAATAGAGAGATGCGATGATTTGCTATAGAAGGCTGCAGTTATAGACCGTTACACCCAGTTAATGAGCCATGTTTGTACATAGTGTATTGATCTGATATGTTTTGATTTATTGATTAACATAATGTAAAAATGATCACCTTCAAGCAGCTAATGAGCTATTGGAAATGAATAAATAAGTAAGGGATGAAGCTGAATGGCTGCATTGTGGACAGTTGAGACCTGTATTAGGATGTGTCTGGCCACACTTGGCCGGTCCCTTGCGCACTCCAACGATACTCTGTAATTCTTTACAGTGTAATCAGCATTAGGCATATTAAATCTTAAATCCCAACATGTCACATGGACAGATGGGAAACTTACATTTGAGAGGATGGGGCTGCTGATGCGATTGGAGGCAGGATTATTGACAAACATTAAATATTTGTGCCTAGTGGTAACCATCCAATTTAAAACAAGATCAATGTATCTTATTTTCACAGACTGATTTCTAAACACGTTTATTGTAGTTTTTATTGATATGAAGCCCTGTTATACATTTAGACACAGAGGGATTTTGGGTCCAAAATAGGGACAGTCCCGACTACGTAGGGACACTTGGCAGGTATACTGGATTGCATGCTCCAAGGATTTGTCTTCATTGTTTGCAGATTTCAATATATAACATCGTTTCCCTGTACTGTCTGTCAGTTAGTTAGTAGGGCAGGTGCAGCACTGGCTGTTTCTAGGTTATGATAAAACATCATTTTGACAATAATTGCTGTGCGAGATACATTGTTTGTTTAAAGCATTGCGTTAACATTCCATTAAGAACTGGGTGATTATGAAATATTACAGAGCATCATGGTGGGGTCTTTACTCAGGAGACTGAGAGATATTTCAACTGGCAATAACTTTGTTAAAGGAATGACGTATCATAGTAATAAGGTTAATAAAAGGCGTGAGATACTAACTACACCTTCCAAGTGTCCTCATTTAGAAGGGACAGTCTCTAGTTTAGGCCTAAATCCATCTGTCCCTCTTTTCTATCCTAATGTCCCTCTTTTCTATGAGCTCCATATTGTTGGTGTGTCTGAGTGTATAACAGAGCTCCACAGTAATAATACTCCCAGTAATGTGACTGAGTGTATAACAGAGCTCCACAGCAATAATACTCCCAGTAATGTGTCTGAGTGTATAACAGAGCTCCACAGCAATAATGCTCCACAGCAATAATACTCCCAGTAATGTGTCTGAGTGTATAACAGAGCTCCACAGCAATAATACTCCCAGTAATGTGTCTGAGTGTATAACAGAGCTCCACAGCAATAATACTCTCAGTAATGTGTCTGAGTGTATAACAGAGCTCCACAGCAATAATACTCCCAGTAATGTGTCTGAGTGCATAACAGAGCTCCACAGCAATAATACTCCCAGTAATGTGTCTGAGTGCATAACAGAACTCCACAGCAATAATACTCCCAGTAATGTGTCTGAGTGTATAACAGAGCTCCACAGCAATAATACTCCCAGTAATGTGTCTGAGTGTATGACAGAGCTCCACAGCAATAATACTCCCAGTAATGTGTCTGAGTGTATAACAGAGCTCCACAGCAATAATACTCCCAGTAATGTGTCTGAGTGTATAACAGAGCTCCACAGCAATAATACTCCCAGTAATGTGTCTGAGTGTATAACAGAGCTCCACAGCAATAATACTCCCAGTAATGTGTCTGAGTGTATAACAGAGCTCCACAGCAATAATACTCTCCCAGTAATGTGTCTGAGTGTATAACAGAGCTCCACAGCAATAATACTCCCAGTAATGTGTCTGAGTGCATAACAGAGCTCCACAGCAATAATACTCCCAGTAATGTGTCTGAGTGCATAACAGAACTCCACAGCAATAATACTCCCAGTAATGTGTCTGAGTGTATAACAGAGCTCCACAGCAATAATACTCCCAGTAATGTGTCTGAGTGTATGACAGAGCTCCACAGCAATAATACTCCCAGTAATGTGTCTGAGTGTATAACAGAGCTCCACAGCAATAATACTCCCAGTAATGTGTCTGAGTGTATAACAGAGCTCCACAGCAATAATACTCCCAGTAATGTGTCTGAGTGTATAACAGAGCTCCACAGCAATAATACAAACAGTAATGTGTCTGCGTGTATAACAGAGCTCCACAGCAATAATGCTCCACAGCAATAATACTCCCAATAATGTGTCTGAGTGTATAACAGAGCTCCACAGTAATAATACTCCCAGTAATGTGACTGAGTATATAACAGAGCTCCACAGCAATAATACTCCCAGTAATGACTCTGAGTCTATAACAGAGCTCCACAGTAATAATACTCCCAGTAATGTGACTGACTATATAACAGAGCTCCACAGCAATAATACTCCCAGTAATGTGCCTGAGTGTATAACACAGCTCCACAGCAATAATACTCCCAGTAATGTGTCTGGGTGTATAACAGAGCTTCACAGCAATAATACTCCCAGTAATGTGTCTGCGTGTATAACAGAGCCCCACAGCAATAATACTCCCAGTAATGTGTCTGCGTGTATAACAGAGCCCCACAGCAATAATACTCCCAGTAATGTGTCTGCGTGTATAACAGAGCTCCACAGCAATAATACTCCCAGTAATGTGTCTGGGTGTATAACAGAGCTTCACAGCAATAATACTCCCAGTAATGTGTCTGCGTGTATAACAGAGCCCCACAGCAATAATACTCCCAGTAATGTGTCTGAGTGTATAACAGAGCTCCACAGCAATAATACTCCCAGTAATGTGACTGAGTGTATAACAGAGCTCCACAGCAATAATACTCCCAGTAATGTGACTGAGTGTATAACAGAGCCCCACAGCAATAATACTCCCAGTAATGTGACCGAGTATATAACAGAGCTCAGAGAATCTAAATTTACATCCAAGCTTAATATTCCCGAGAAATGTTAAACAAATAGAGGGTTAGGCATTAAACTGGGAATTTTGGAAATGTCACAAGTGGTTTGAACATTTTAGTATAAGCTAACTAATTTGGAGAGATTCCCCATCTCAGTTAATTTTCCAGATTGCTCCATTTTTTTACTTGGACAATTCTCCATAATTCTCTGTTAAGGACAAATCCCGCTAAGGATTGATTTTCCAATGTGTGCTTTGGAAGCGATATCTGCACTAAAATGACCTTTTGTTATAAGATGCGTTTGCTGCGGGCCCACTGTCCGTTTAATCTTGGCGGCCTCTGTAAGCACCGTGATGTTCTGGCTGATGGTTTAACGACCTGAAAATACCATTTGCTTATCATTTAGATGGGTGTTTATCAAACAGATTGATTTTGTTCTGGTCTCAGCAGATATGGTGTCCGAATGTCAATTTTAATGACTCCCATTAGATTAAAGGGCTAGACTGCTGCTGTAGGCAGATAGATTGGACCTGTGAGCACACTGACAGGGTTAATTTTTATGTGATAACTGGCGTAAGGAGTAAGGATGCATTCATTAGATACAAAACAAATCTATTGATCTATTGGTGTAATAAGTCTGCCCTCGGCCATGCTTGGCTAGTTACCATTCAGTAAGCTAGCCCAGAGCAAGGAAGGCTAGCTCTAATACTGTGTTAGGCTGTCAAAGGGTCTGTTGCATTTAGAATTTATTGGTTATTTAATAGATGGACACAGGGTAGTTTTTCTGCGTGATAACGCACATATCGTTCTTCCCACAAATCAAGTGCTGGGTGCAAATGTAAATTTTTATATTCTAACCCAAAGAGAAATACCATTTACTATATTTTAATATTGCGAAATCCATGTTGGAAATGTAGGTTAATAAAACAAAAAATGTTTTCTAGTTTGAATTAAAGTCCACAAATGTATCTATTCATCTGCCCATTCATCCCGCAACTATATCTTTTATCTGCTGTTTAGTAAATACATAAAACCTCGGGTGTTGGGCTCAGGCGGTGAGTTCCCTCAATATGTTTGTGTATTACATGCTGGAATGCTAAAGGACCTTCACGGGAAAGCTGCTTGATTATCACACGGCCAACTGATGTCTCCACTATAGATAGAGAGTGTATTCTCCCATCTCATCACATTCCAATAATTCACTGACTGCCCCCGGGGGGTTCATGCATGTGAGATAGTGAGCAGTTACTGGCTCGATCTGTATAACGCGGGACCTGCTAATGGCCAGATACCATGAATAAGCTGGCATAGCTCAGAATGATAGCTCATACGAAGCATGCATGGCTTCTGTAAATCATCTCTCATCAAGCAATGCTTTGTTTAACTCCACATTCTGTATCCACCGGCACATTGTACAAGTATTCCGAAGATGAAACATCAAGTCTCCAGTAGGAGTTTTTACATATTGATTCCCGACTCAGACCCCAAACCGCTGAAACCTGAATGAGGAAAATGGAAAGTTTTGATCTGAGTACAATCATTCTATCCATTCATCCATCATACAATTTAGGAACAAATAAGTGCACCTAAATAACAAACTAATGTCCACCTCTCATTTAAGTGAATTGAGCTTTTACACGTTGAAGAGTCACTCAACTACATTTCTAGAACATCCTAACAGCAGAATCCCATTATAATCCATTATTCTTACTGTTGATCTCTGTAAAACTGTTTAGGGCCAGGGTTTTAAGAATTAAAAAATAAAATTACTAAATTTGCTTTGAAATAGAGAGAAGAGAATTGGGTGTTTATATGCTTCCCTTAGATCTTCTGTGCAGTTCTTCAGCCGATATCCCACTTCTGACACCTGATTCCTAATATAGGGTGTACCTTGAGCTAGCATTTTAGATATCAGGTTATAAAAATGGGCTATATCCTTCGGGTGGCTGTAAGGAGGCTATGGTTCTAGAGCCACCAAAGTAGATCTCTAGGAGCCGTAGACTCACAGTAAATACTGTAAAACATAAGTAAATAAACTGATCTAACAAACCTCTGCCCCTTAACCCCTTAAGGATGGAGTCAAATGTACACGTTGTGAACAAAACAAAATGTAAACAAAACCTGGCATTTGCGCTACATGTCTGTCCAACCGTAATTCACCTCTTTCATAGTAAATGCACCCACCCTTATTATATATCATTTTATTCATGGGAAACAGGGCTTTCATTTAATATCAAATATTTAGCTATGAAACATAATTTAATATAAAAAAAATGGTAAAAAATACGATTTTTTTTGATTTTTTTAGTTCTACATGACATTTTAAAAGTCAGTGTCATAATACTGTTTGCTTTTACTGCAATAAAATACACATATTTGTATTCAGTAAAGTCTCACGTATAAAACAGTACCCCCTATGTACAGGTTTTATGGCATTTTGGGAAGTTACAGGGTCAAATATAGAACGTTACATTTGAAATTGAAATTCGCCAGATTGGTTACGTTGCCTTTGAGACTGTATAGCAGTCCGAACGAAATTACACCCATAATGGTATGTACCATTTGCAATAGTAGACAAACCCAAGGTATGCAAAATGGGGTATGTCCAGTCTTTTAGTAGCCATTTGGTCACAAACACTACAAAAGTTAGTGTTAGTATTTGTTTGTGTGTGAAAATGCAAAAACGCCAATTTTGGCCAAAGTGTTGTGACTAAGTGGCTACTTCAAAGACTGGACATACTCTGTTTGCAATACCTTGGGTTGTCTACTATTGCAAATGGTATGCCATCATAGGGGTAATTTTCATTCTTGGGCTACCATAGGGTCACGAAGGCAACGTAACCAATCTGGCGAATTTTAATGTGAAAAAAATGAAACACAAGCCCTTATATTTGACGCTGTAACTTTTGAAAACACCATAAAACCTGTACATGAGGGGTACTGTTGTACTCGGGAGACTTCGCTGAACACAAATATTTGTGTTTCAAAACAGTAAAAAGTATCACAGCAATAATATTGTCCGTGTAATGCTGTTTGTGCGTGAAAAATGCAAAAAACGTCACTTTTACTGGCGATATCATCGTTGTAATACATTTTACTGTTTTGAAACACTAATATTTGTGTTCAGCGAAGTCTCCCGAGTAGAACAGTACCCCCCATGTACAGGTTTTATGGTGTCTCGGAAAGTTATAAGGTTAAATATGGTGCTAGCAAATTAAATTCCATTTACTTTCGGCATGGGTTGTCATGCAGGTCCTGCTAATTGTAATTAATTAAGATACCTAATTATGTAAAAATATTACATAAATATATATGTAGAATTAATATATGTATATATATACGTATGTGTATATATATATGTATATATCTATATAATTTTTAAAAAATATTTTTATTTATATATAGGTATATATATAGTGATATATACGTATATATTTATGTATATAGATATATATATTATTTCGTTCTACATGTATTTTGATATATATATATATATATAATTTCACAATACAGTTAGAACGAAATAACACACATCTATATATTTTTAATTATTTATTTTTAATTATTTTTTTAATTTTATTTTTTAACGTATTTACATTTTTATTTTTTTTATATTATATATAAATATATATAACAATAATTATATATATATTTAATCAGTATCAGTCTACGTGTAATTTGATATTAATATATATATTATATATATATTAATAGTAAAATACACCTAGACGGTGTACATGTGTCTAGTGCCTCCATGTCTTCCAGTGCCTCAAGTGTCTCAATGTCCCCATATCTCCAAGCTAGTGTCCCTAGTGTCTGTGGCCCTGGTGTCTCCTTGTCCCCATGTCTCCCAGTACCCCCATGTCTCAATGTCCCCATGTCCCCCCAGCCAGTGTCTCTAGTGTCTGTGTCCATGGTGTCTGTGTCCCCTTGTCTTCAAGTGTCCCCTATTTTCCCAGTGTCCCCATGCATCCCAGCCAGAGTCCCCTAGTCTCCCAGTGTCACTGGTGTCTCTGTGTCCCTAGGTCTCCCTGAGACACTGATACATAGGAAAACTGAGACCTGGAGTAATCGACACATGGGGGCACTGGGAGACATGGGGGCCACTCCTTAGATGGCTGTTAGAGATCCTTCCTGGGTCATGGCTGCCTAAAATGCATCCAAACATTCAGTGTCTCCTCCCTCTGCATGCAGACACTGAACTTTCCTCATAGAGATTCATTGATTCAATTCATCTCTATGAGGAGATGCTGATTGGCCAGGGCTGTGTTTGAATCATGCTGGCTCTGCCCCTGATCTGCCTCCTTGTCAGTCTCAGCCAATCCTATGGGGAAGCACTGTGATTGGATTAGGCCACCACTTCTAATGATGCCAGCAGACTGCTTGTTTTTCTGAGTCTAACAGCATGCAGAGTTACAGCTTCAGGCTTGAATACAGTAAGATTTTGCTATATTTATGGAGGCATGAGGGGCCCAGGGGGGCTAGATGGTGGTGTCAACACTATAGGGTCACAAATTCATGTTTGTGTTCCTGACCCTATAGTGATCCTTTAAGGTAATGCTGACTTTGGTCCTCTAACACTGTGGCATGTCCCATTTATTCTACACTCTCTACATACACCTTTTCTTTGTCCCAGACTATATACCAGGAGCTTCTGCCTGCTAGTAAGAAGGTAAGGAGACAAGTGGACCAGCGAGTGCTAGGGGACAGTCCTTAGAAAGCGTTGAGCGAGCGCATCATTAGATGCATTTATGCCAAGCTCAGGGTGCTGTCTGCATAGTATGCCCTTAGTTGGCCAGCTGCATGATTGGCAGGCAGCCTGACATGCATTCATACCAGGCTGGCCTTCTAATTTTTTGGGCAGACATGTCCTCTTTTTGGGCATGTTCGCCCCTTTTGGCAGATTACGTGATTTGTGTCAGTGGCACACCCTTTTACCGTGCTCATTGACTTCCTGCTTGACTGGACACTGCTGTTAGGGGTTATGGATTTACTTGAATGATGAAAACATAAATTAGAGAGAGATTAGCCTAGGGTATGTGTTTTCTTATAGCTGCTGTTTTCTTTCTCTCCAGCACCATCTCCATCAGATACATGACGCTTGGGAGTGTTTTACTGTTTTTGGTCGATATGATTCTGTAATTAGGCCCGTCATAATTATCAGCACCAGGTCCACTGGGCTCTTAATCTGGCCCTGCTCGGGAGTACTCAGTGCATCGACCTCAGAAGGCTGTAGGTCTGGGGTGACACTGATAGGAATGGGACCTATATCCCAGAAGATTGAATAGATATTAATGTTATTGCTATTGTTTTTCTGTTTTTTTTTAAATTTTTTATTTATGTTATATATATTTATATAATAAAAAACATTTGAAACGAATGAGTGCAGTATGAAAGTATTCACCAGCCCAGGTACATTGGGGGCTTGTGCCAGTGAATTCTGGGCCAGTGTGCATGCAATTCAAAATTCATCTTCGCTGGTCAGGATCTGTGGCCTTTATTTTACACATTGAGCAGGTAGTCCTACTACTGTTATTCTAAAGAGGAGATTTCTTGGAATCCTTGACTTGTTTCTAGCCTACTTCAAACTAATCCAACTTTAACCCATTTCTAGGGGTTATCCTCCTAAAGTCCTCCCCTACTTCAGCCTTACCCCACTACACTACATCTGGCTATGGAGTTGTACATATTCTTAATAAGTAGACTTGTGCACGGAGGACACATTTGGTTCAGCCAAATCATTTTGTCCCCAAAAAATGTCTTTGGTACGACTGAATTCCGATGCAGTGGTTCGGCTTGACCGAATATCACCCATGCAAATGATTTAGGAAAAGCTATTCCAATTAAACAAAATGGAAAATAACCCTATCACTGTATGGCAAAATATATAGATAACATTTGCATGTATATATATTTTGAAGTACAGTTATCTTCTAATTTTCCTACACTTTTAACGGAGCTAATTCTGACCGAATAGAATGGTATTGTACCATTCAAATTCGGTCCACATTTGGCCAGTATCTGCGATTTTGACCATTTGGTTGTGCATTTTAAGTGTTCCGTCAGGCTGATTCCGGTTTATTTGTTTATATCTCTTTATTTGTTTGATTTAGTGACTGTCCCCTAACCATCAACCCATTAATCATCTCTGGGTTTTTTTGGTGCCACGGATGGCACACTTAAACACGAAGCAAACAAACATATTTGGCCATTTTACGTATTGTTTTTTTTCATGATATGGCTCTTCCCAGTTACAGAATTTGGATGACTCAATGATTGGCCAAAATTCGCACAAATTAAATAATTTGAAACTTAGTGCACAAGTCTATTAATTAGTTCCCTTCATGTACCCTCACTGCTAATTCTCTCAATTTTCCCACTGTCCCTTATCATACACATTTTCTAAACAGTTGTTTGATTGTCTAAGGAACACGTTTGAATTTTTTTATGAATCTTGTTTTGTATGTGATTTTTTTTGGTATGGTGTATAGGCTGGGTGTCTATATGATTAGAGCAGAGCTATCACTGTCTTAGATCCAGAAAGCCATTGTTCAAAACCATGTGAGGACACTTCACCAGTTAGTGTCCCTAGGCAAGATACCCAACGACATATATCTGCCTAGCTCATAGATTAATATATTATAAGCTTCTTCTCCTCTGAATATCTAATTTCTATAATTGTATGTTCTGCAAAGTATGTTGGAGCTATAGAAATGTTAATAGTAATGTTCAGTGTTTGTAAGTCTTGTATCTTACCATCTTCCTGTATTATTTTAGATACACCAAGATGAAGACTGCAACAAACATCTACATTTTTAACTTGGCCCTGGCCGATGCCCTGGTACTGATCACTCTGCCATTTCAGGGCACGGATATTCTGATGGGAATCTGGCCTTTTGGAAATGTCCTGTGTAAAATTGCTATATCCATAGATTACTACAATATGTTCACCAGTACCTTCACTCTGACCATGATGAGTGTGGATCGCTACATCGCTATCTGCCATCCCGTAAAGGCGCTGGACATTCGTACTCCACACAAAGCCAAGGTGGTCAATATTTGCATCTGGGTCCTGGCCTCCTTCATTGGGATTCCCGTCATGGTAATGGGTTCAGCTGAGATGGAGAACGATGGTCAGTAGTTTTCTTCTTTATCTTGTTCTTTGGAGAACAATGGACAATGCATGTGTTGTTGGCTTGACCAAAGCTTAGGAAATTATACTGTAACTCACTAGATAGTTGGACCTCAGGAATGCAGGACTTTCTCATATCAATGCAAATACCTCAAATTATCCAAATTGGTCACCTGCCCTGACCTGCAAGGAAATACTGAGCAATTCTGGGATCTAATTACAAGAACCTGAGAATTGAACCTGATGTATAATTGGGTATTAGAGGATCTGCTATATTCATATTTTGTTGGCTTCCTTTGCTGCCCAGTTTGTTTCCTGTAACCTTCCTTTAAAGTGTCTTATATTTTTCCATTTCCGGGGAAGGAAGTTCAGGGAGAGCAACGTAAATTTGTCATGCAGTGGAATATGTGTATAGCGTCCCCAAGGGGGCAAGTCACTCTGTGCCCATTGCCGCATTACAAACTATTGGTAGCCTAATGTTGGCAAATCTCTGAGAACACCTGGATCTTCTTCCCTGATCCGACCTTAGTCAGATCCTAGATCCTAGTTAAGATCCTTCTTTGTTTAACAGAATAAAATTGGTCATAGAGATCAGTGCTAGTACTATACCATCAATAATTGGTGTCACCCAGAGATCTATTGGCTGGTAGTACTATACCATCAATAACTGGTGTCACCCAGAGGCACAGATCTATTGGCTGGTAGTACTATACCATCAATAACTGGTGTCACCCAGAGGCACAGATCTATTGGCTGGTAGTACTATACCATCAATAATTGGTGTCACCCAGAGGCACATCAGTAATTGGATAATGTCCCCCGCAAGACCTCCTGCTATGTAGGTCTAGACTATTGATAGTTTGATTTTCCCTACAGATGGTGATTACAGCAGCAGTTGGTACCAATAAACACACTGAAGCCCATGTGTGGCCACCAGGTTCCATCAGCAGGTCCACATTAAAATACATTCCCTGATTTGTATAAAAATCCCAGAAAGATTTGTATTTTCCGTTGTGTTTCTGGCAGAGACGCACAGACAGATTTGTACCATGAGTCGTGCAATGTGCTTGGTACTATATATTTATACTGAGTCCACGGTGGTGTAAAACAGAACCTGGCAATGATCAGAGAGATTAAAAAAAAAAAAAATAAGTCCATATTGCAAATTGCATGATCGGATGCTGTGCCACTCTCCCAATTAATACTGCGCTTTTGTTTATGATGCACACACACGGCCCTGGAATAAAACTGGGCATTAAGCGTGTATTACCAAGAGCAGAAATTACAGTCTATACGTCTCCACAGTCACTGGTGCATCACGTCCCCTGAGAATTTAAAGCATTTGATTTACTACAACAAACACACATCTATAATTCATGTCCTCTTTACCCCCTGCCTCTCGCTTCTTCTCCCTGCTCCCTAAAGGGGGGCTAGCGAGTGAGTACAGCAGCCACAGGAAGCTTAAAACAATGGCTCTGCTTATAACTCTCTCATCACGTTTTGGCAGCCTCTGGCTTCCTTTACATTGTCTGCAAGGTTAGCTGATCCACCGTCCGATGGCATGGATGCTGCTTTATAAAAACTCAATGAAGAATCAGTAAAACAAGGGCTGTATAGCAGGTAGCCCCCATCATGCTTTTCCCGCCCTAACGCAATGGTTGTAGCTTTTATCTGTGGAGCGTACATTTTGGCTATCCGTGTCCATGAAAGCTGGATATGGAGAGCACATGAGCCCTTGGCTGGGAAATAAATGAAGGCCACAGGTGCCTAAATTTCACTTCAGAGAGGGAGATAAAAGTGAACGACACAGACCTTTTAGGCAGCAGGAGCCTAAGGCGAGCCCTTACCAGAACCAATAAGCAATCAGGTGAATATTCATATTACCATAGTATATCAAGGGTTATCCAGCAAAGGGCGAATTGCCGGCGATTCCAAGTTAACATTCCGAATGAATAACGGAAACAATAAATGACTGAGAATTTTTCTAATTTGACTTTTGTGAATAAACCTTTGCCCGGCTAGTGTTCACATTGACCTTTGTGAAAACATACAGGGTTATTCACTAAGCACTGTCAGGAATTCTAAGTAAATTCACAGTGAATTTCAGATTCAAGGCCGAAGTAACTGAACTACTTTGGAAGCATAAGTAACTTGGGGAATTTTTCCATTTGACTATATTAGCCGTAAATCCTAAATTCACTTTGAATTCAGTCTGACTTTCCGACAATTCTTACTTTAGTGAAATAATCCCATACGGGTTTTATCAAGGTTGGACCAGGTGGGGCGGTGGCAGAAAACGACCCTAGGAATCCTGGCAGTGTTTATAGGCAAGCTGTGCACAAGGTGTGGGATGGTGGAATTGAGGAGCTGGGGCTCCAGGGAAATAAGAGCTCATTAGAAAGATGTCGATAAGAAGCGCTCCTACTGCTGCGATCAACACAAAAATATGTCTGGCCAGTGGAAGTGACGCCAATAAAAGGCATTGCTCAGTGCGGCTACTGGAAAGTTGTCCCTGCGCGGTGGTAATTACTCGGGTAGCTCGTGGAATCCTGCTGCAGTAACGCATCCATCGCTGCGCGCACACATTAGCAAATCTCTCTGCTTTACTGCGTCCACAGCAACTCAAGCACTATTAAAATCCCCTCCTGGGAAACTGATTTCAGCTCCGGGGAATCTTATTAAAGACATATTTCAAAGGCTCTATAAAAACGTCAGGCGCTAGCAATCGCTCCAAGCAGCGATTTTTCCTTCAGCGAAGCAACATCAAGATTACATCTAGCCAACCCGCAGCGCAGTCCTGCTCATTTCCTGGCCTTTAAGGATGCGTCTGTGTGCGGAGAAACCTCTTGCTGATCTATGATTTATGAGATATACCTTTTATTCATGGGAAGTTTTAATTAGAAATATCTGCCTTTGCATTTAACGCTTTCAGCGCAGAAGCACTGCTTGGGTGTGGGCAATTTACAGCTAAACCTACGGTGTTTTAAATGTCAATAAATAAAATATATATCATGATAATCCATGTATGTTAGAAATGGGATAACAGTCTGCGTTAAATGGAGTCAGCTGGGTTTATTAACTAAACAGCGAGAACTGGGGCGTTTATTCAGAAAAGATGAAATTGTTGTGAATTAGAAACCAAAAACCTTTAAAATTTAGACTAAATTAGATGGTTTTGAAAAAAACACCCAACCATGTCTATAATCATAGCTTGGATATTTTAGCTCAAATCGTCTGTCACTTTGAAGATTTTCTTTTTCTTTAATTTATCCTTTTTTGTCCCTGTGTTTCCCCCTTTTTTGTGTTATTTAAATTTGAAAGATTGCTGTCAGAAAAGGAGAGAAAGGGAGGATATTAAATGATTTTGATGACAGCGTTCATTAAGCAAGGTTTCTTGTCGGTTTCCAAGGTGATTAACCACACTTAAATTTTGAAATTCCATTTTCAGTTTATTACAACTTGATATTTAGTAAATAACATAATAAAGTGTAATATTTAAAATGATACAGACCAAGTTTTGGAAGTTAATCTTAATGCACTGTTTAGTGGGTAAAGCCCTTATACTGTGGGATTGCTGATATCTGCTATTAAATTGCTTTCGTTCTGTCCTAGGGCTGCATTTCACCCTGGTAATTACAGCCGTTCCTCCCCCATAGGCACTAAGTACCCCTAGTAATGAAGTAGGTTGTGTTTTGATAGACCTAGCGTTGTATTTCATGTCACTTTATACATTTTCGTCCATGCTAACAGCATTTTACTTTTCTCCGCAGAGATTGAGTGCATGGTCCAAATGCCTGTTCCAGAACATTACTGGGATCCCGTTTTTGGCATCTGCGTTTTCCTCTTCTCTTTTGTTATTCCAGTCCTCATTATCACTATCTGCTACAGCCTTATGATCAGACGCCTGAAGAAGGTACGTGTCCTTTCTGGGTCCAAGGAGAAGGATCGCAACCTGCGTCGAATCACACGGTTGGTCTTGGTGGTGGTAGCTGTGTTTATCATTTGTTGGACCCCAATTCAGATCTTCGTGCTTGTGCAGAGCCTGGGGGCAAAGCCGGACAGTGATGTCAAGGTGTCCATTCTTCACTTCTGCATTGCCCTGGGCTACATCAACAGCAGCTTGAACCCCATTCTCTACGCCTTTTTGGATGAAAACTTCAAAGCCTGCTTCAAGAAATTCTGCTTTCCCTCGGCCTTCCGTACCGAGCTTCAAATGTCTAACAGAATGTGCAGCATTGCGAAGGATGTCGCTTATGCCTACAAGAACTCAGACAGCCCGAATAATCCCGCATGACTAGGCATGGAACTGCCCATGCTAGGGGCAGACGGGGACCAAGTGGGCTCTAATCCACAGGCAGAACTGACTCAGATAACAGCCTTGTGATTAAAATAAAGGAGGTGGGCTTAGATGCCACCTCCTCTTGGAAACTTCAATTTAATGTGGAGAATGGAAGCAAACCGTAATTTCCATTGGCCATTTACCATGGAATTCACCAACCTCCAACTGAGGCATGAAGTCCACTTTTAAAGAAACGCTCACATGGACTTCCTGGATCTCCAACTGTTATACTGAACCAGAGAAAACTTCTTCAGTGGGCTGAAAGGTTGCATCTTGGATGTCGATCCCAAATTTGCCTTTCCGACCTGTCTGTCTTGCAGTGCAGGGTCTGTACAGAAATTCTAGATTTTACTAGAGACTACTTTCAATTTGCTCTAGAGGAGCGTGAAGCCGACTAGGTGAATTTAAGACAGGCTCCTCTTAAAACGTGTTTAATGATGTATATTAAGCCCGTGTGTACACACACACACACATATATATATATATACACACAGTTATTATTTTTCTACTTAAAAGGTCAGAATTAGCTCTTAGATAAAGATAACAGATAATTGACAAGCTTACCAATATTTTTGCTCACTTTTAATAGGTTTTACACAAAAAAAATCCTGCACAAACCGTCTCATGGTGAAGTCAGGTAATTTACTAATGAAATGACCCCATGAGATGCCGAAGGTAGTAGATCTAATAATAATTAAATATCTTTAGACCCCTTTGCTAAACAAGCATGCGCCCCATAATGTGGTGCATTAATCCATGGGAATAGAATAAAGATCTTCCAACCCAGAGCACCTTTCACAAGAAACGTTACGTAAAGGTGTTTCATCAAGCTTTACAGTCATAGTATTTTGAATTTATATATATTTTTGTTTATTTAATTTGCCCATTTTACAAACCTTTTCTCGAGGTGGTAGAAGAAGAAGCTGATATTTATTTAGCGTTTTTATGCTCATTTTCTTTATATTGTATACAAACAGTATCAGAAATCCATTAGTCTCTTTTTTATATTTTACTAAACGAAATTCCTTTATGTAACAATCTTTGTGTGTTTTTCCTTCAGAAAAGCCCCCTTATTGTGGGAGTCTCACCTCATTTTGGAAGCAGTTAGCTCACCGGTATCACCTAATTTCTAAATTTAGAGAAATGGAAATAGTGTGAGCCTTGCCATTTTTAGAACTGACCCAGTAGGGGGAAAGACAGTGATCCCCCTACTATTCAAATATTGCGATAATTAGATAATTAATACATAGCTCAATTTCCCCAAGAAATCCTCGTAAAGCCAGATTTTCCATTAGGATGTTCTGTAATAGGGATCTTAAATTAAATTACAAGGGACACCCTTTCCCTCTGCAACCTTCAAAGAATGGGCTAATCCACTGATTGCCAAAGCAATGTGTACATATCATACTGAACCGCAAAGGGTTAAAAAAAACATTTCCTCCTTTGTATTTAAAGAATTTGTACATTGTTGCTTCTGAGTCCTGCCGTCCTTTTGGTGTTTTTTCGACCCAATCTTTGGGCAAGATGTATAAACTGGAAGCCATTACACCCGAAATTCTGTACTGCCATTAAACGATAAAACTAGAGAGGCCTGGATTTGCTCTCCTCGTTTCCAACCTGATATCTGTGGCTGTTTGCTGGTGAAGTGACATTGAATCAGCCTTAAAACTCCTCTTTTTTTTGGCATATACCATGTATGGCTTTCTTATTTACAGTAACTCATGTAAAAAGAATACGAGAGCGTGTATTATATAGATATCCATTCACAATCACTTCGGTTTTCAAAGCCTCAAAGCCTTTCTTTACCGTGGATCTGCAAATCTTTGCTCCAGGAAAAGAGGCACGGAACAAATTTAAAAACAAGTAAACAATTAAGCCAAATGCATAATGGGGTGAACTAATGAAGAGCATTCTCTAAAGACTGAAGACGTGATGGATCCATGAAAAACGCCAGAGATTGGATCTGATGTCTTATATAAAAAACTCAATTTAATGTCTATAAAGGAAGGGGGATCAGACAGGGGTAACAGCAAGAGCTTGAAGATGCTTTTCTGACTTTCTGTAGTTTATTTATCTTGAGCCCTATCATATGCTGTAAGGAGCGTTATCTGACGTGACGCAGGAAGACCACCCCAGACGTGCCGATATGGAAGAGATATTGAACGATAAAGTGAATGTGTCAGATGGACTGAACCTGCTTTGCGCTGCGGGCATTCAGTGTTGTGTGGGAACAAGAGATAGGAGGTTTGCGCTGAACGCTTCTGGTGACACCATCACTATTACGAGGCCTTTCAGGCCTACCAGGCCGAGGGTGGCAGTGGCCTTGAAAAGAAAGTGTTGACAATGTAAGCTGTCACCATAGGAAGTGCACGTGCAAAAGTGTTTGTGTTTTTGTTTTCCAAAACCCTGTGTAAATGAATGAGTGATGACGCGTTTCGCTTAATTTGATAATGTCTGCTTATTTATAAGTGTGAATATTATACTCTCATATCCACTAGAGTGTGAGCTGGTGAATTGGTGTGTGTGTGTGAGTGTGTGCTGCTCACACGCAGATTGTGTTACATGTCTATATCTGAGGAAAACAATTTAAATCTTGGGGTGATAGATGAGGGGAGGAGGTACAGCAGACTGACTGGACAGACTTGTCCATAAATCAAGTTATAAATCTTCAGGAGTGCCTTATTTCAAACAACGCCTACTTTGTGGTTAAACTAACTCATTTTGCTAGTGTTAATTTAAGTGTTCAGTGCTCAATGTAAAGGCTCCTGTTTGATCAGTGATTTGCACATATATGTGGTCAGCACAAGAGCTGATCGCTACGTGGATCTATTTTTTTGTGGCCTGCTAATGATATGTGTACAGATTCCCTGCTGCTTGTCCCACTATTCTGTGACTGTGATATGCTGCTCTATGGGCTTAAGGCTCCTGTCCTGTCCCATGTACTTTTGTGTTAAAGAAATGATTTCCGGCCCATCCGTTCTGGGTCCCGAGTCTCTTAAAATTCCCTCTGTTACTCCATATTATTCATACTGTTGAAGAATGGGTGAGATATTAGAAAATCATTCACTAAACAGCAAGTTGTGGTGAGTTATTTTTTTAAATTGATATTCCTTTATTTATATTATTACTTATTTGGTGCCAACATAGTCTGTAGCACAGTACAATGGGTGATACAAGTTAATTAGCTCGCAATTTGAAGCCTTGTTAAGTGATATTCAAAGGATGGGTAGTAAAAAAAACACACACGTTGGTGAATAAATAAAATCTTACAATTAAGTTCTAAAATGTCATCTCATCACAAATCACTGTTTAATGAACGAGCCAACAAGTGACCAAACCTCCTGTTTAAAGAAGCAAGTGCACTAGGGTCTGCTAGAAAAATGTAAAACTTAAAGGGACACTATTGTCACCAAAACAACTTAATGAAACTATTTTGGTGTATAGACCAATTCTTTGCTATTTAGGAGTTAAATCCCTTTGTTTATGTAGGCCTAGTCACACCTCCCTGCATGTGACTTACACAGCATTCCATAAACACTTCCTGTAAAGTGAGATCTAATGTTTAAACTTCCTTTATTGCATAGTCTGTTTAATTTACAATTTAATATATCCTGCTCTGTAAGGGAGCATTATAGACACAACAGGAGCATCCTGTGTGTGAGTAAAGTTAAATTTACAGAACATAAGATAAAAAACTTGTAAAGTAAGTAAGCATCTGACTGCAAACTAAACCATTATCTTTTTCGTGCACACTGAATCAGTCTCAGCCAGGGGAGGTGTAGCTTGTTAATTTTAATATCAATAAGTCATTATATTCCTGTTGCATACTTTGTTTTGTCTATTTGTCATGTTATTAATGCACAGCAAGGGTGGCCAGTGACTAGCTCTCCAGCTGTTGTTGAAATACAACTACCATGATGCTTTGCAGACTATAGACTACAAAGTACAGCTCCAGATCTCTCTTACACGGTCATCTTCTGGAGCCTCGCAATGTGGTGTTACACCACGTGTTACAGTAAGATCAAGTTAACAGTGCTTCTAAATGTATTTATTTATTTTATAAAATGTTGGTAAGTTGGCCTAAATGGGAGATCTGGTCACTTTACCATCATGCAGCATATAACAACGCTGTCTGAAAAATGGGGACACCCTTGAATATAGCAATGGGGTTATTTACTAAACTATGAATTAGAATCAATTGAAAAAGAGAATTTCTGAATGTAAGTTAAAAATAGCCAAGTTGTAGATATGAAACAGGGAAAATCCCTTTGTACATCATTAAAAGGACCCGAACCCAGCAATTAAAACAAACAAACCATTTGGTAAATAGTCAGCAGTCAATACCAGAGCAAAATAAATTAGAACAATAACAGAAAAAGAAAATAAATAAATTCTCATGTCTCTATCTTTCAACCCCCATCCAGGCCTATGAATTGCAGAATTATTTTCTGGTCTAAATTTAGCAATTTGCGTTAACGTTCACAACAATTCACCGTTTAGTAGATAAACTCCAATTTCAGGGGAGTCTTTTCTATTAGTCCCAATATTACAAGATGAGATTACAGGAACTACACACCTGCATTATAAAGTAGTACTGAGTATGTTCATAAATAGCAATTTCCGCAAAGCCGTAACTGCTGGATTCTTGCGCATGTAATGCCGCAGTGAGGATAACGTTTGCACTGTTGTTGTTTCATTACTGGGCACATGGATACATGAACATTTAAAGGATTATAAAATACTCCCTCTAATGATTGTTATTAAAAAAGCAGGGTTGCTTTAAATGCAATTCGTCTCTGTTTTATGCATAAATTATAACCGTCACATCTGGAAATTACACCATAACTAAAACACTGAAAAAAATCAGCCATTTTATATGTAACGCACTGTTTCCTTGTAAATTTTATTAAAGTTTTAGCAATTTACACCACAATCCATTTCAAACCCGGCACACATTTCATTAAATGAGGAGTAAGAGAAACATTGTTTCTATCTCAGTTCTTCTCTCTATGCTAACGCTACACCCCACCTCAGGAGAAAGACTTCTCCACTCTAGATCCTTCAGTCAAGGGAGAACTATCGCTGCTTTATAAACGGCGCTCTGATCAGAAGGCGATTTTATTATAGAAACATCTGCTAAAAGAGGATCTCCTGGTTTATAAAAACTGCACTCAGGAGAGAAGATTAGCCGAAGATCTAACGCTCTCGAGTAGCACAGATCTGAACAAAGCAAATCGTATATAATGTGTAATCGCTTTAGACGGGAATAATTGGTGTCAAACTTAATCAGGGAAGTTAAGATGAAATCGGATAGTCTTCCTCGGGGTGGAGTACTTGTTATTCCTCTTAGTTAATAACCATGTTTTCCTGCAGTTCGTAGTCCTGATTAGTCAAATCATCACTCTCTTGACTGATCGTTATTAGATCTACACTGCATGTGTCGTGGCTGCGCGCATACAGTCTTAAAGGAATACCCCTATATTAAACTGAACAACCACTTATTTTAGAGCGCGTTAGCCATTTCTCGACTTCTGGTCAAGGTTGCCGGATACTCCACGTTTTCCTAAACATCGTTATTTACGGAATAAAAAGCTAAGAGATTCGGCACGCCAGTAATTTTCTCTTTGAATTCCTTCAGTAGGGCAAATTGCAATATTAGCAACAGCTCTGTTCTGCATAAATGCTGCTTCACTGTTGCGGGCTTCTACTACCCGGTTCAAAAATTAAAATGTTACTCTAAGTGCCATGAACACATAAGTGATTTGAAGTGGTTATGGTGCCTGGAGTCTGTATGTCCAGGGTTTTGCTGTAAAAAATGCACATACAGAGATTAACCCCTTACCTACTGAAGCAAAGGTCCAGACTGGTTAATGTCAGTTCTGATGCCACCACACACAGAGTGCCGTTGCCAGACAGCCAATGCAAAGACACAGTGGGGGGAGGGAGGACCACCATAGAAAGTGTAACTACACTTAAAACCAGTATTTTATGAGAACACTGTTTTTTGGAGTAATCCTTTAACACACTGTAAAAATAAATGCTCTGCTAAAAAGAAATGCCAATCTTGTTTTTGAGAATTAAAACAGAACGATGAATCACAGAAGACTTGTGGGAGAAATTTTTCCATTAACCGAAACCCGTACAACTCTCACTGAACAAGTGATAACAATGTGATACATGAAGACTAATTAGCTGTGAAAGTGAACTCATGATTGCAACTGCAAACCAGACTCACTCATTAAGCAGAAACGTGTCAATGGTCAGAGGGCGGGCACAGACTCCTGCTCAGGTGGCACATCCAGGCATGAGATTTATTCATTCACACTTGTCAGGATCCCAGGAGGGGGAGAGGAGAAGAGTCAAATTAGGCTTTTTTTCCCCCTTGTTAATTAAAGCAGAAAATACCGCAGTCTGACTGCGAAGCAGAGACTGATTCAGGATTCCTTATTAGTGGGTAGTGATTAGTCTACTGTACAGACAATGCTAGCTGCATCTACAGCTAGAGCATTGACAAGGATTCTAAATCATTTTCTCTATACTGAGAGCGGAGCCCGGCACATCGGCTGTGAGAAATAAAATGAATTAAATTGAGAGAAAACGAGAACATCCCAGGCAGAGAATGTCTAGATTTATTCCCTAAACTGAGAACGGAGGAGAATCGACAAAGAACTGGAAATTTAAAGAAACATTAGCGTGTCAGCAATACAAACCTGTATTATTAATATTGCAATTTATATAGAGCCAACAGATTCTTTAGTGTCTCTGTCCCTGGTTATATAGAGGTCCCCCCACAGGGTGACCCATAAAAATAATAAAATAAAGGCTTTTATTTATCACAGCGCTAATTACCTTTCTGTCTCCTGTGACATCATGAACCAGGCACGGACTACTCCGGTGATGGTCCAATCAACTGCCCTTCATTGGGGACCTGATGCGCATGTGCGGTGAATGCAGGCATTGAATCAGTGCTTTCCTATGGGGGCTGCACATTATATGAGTTTTACCTTAAATGGTTACATTGACAGGAACACTGCACTCAGGTGACTTCAAGTGATCTTTCACGGCCAAAATAACTTTTTATAAATGTGTTTATTTTACCCTGAAATGGAAAACACCCTTTGAATTCTCTCCAATTTCAGTTTTTAGTGAGTAAGCACCAATATGTCGGTTTCCTAGCAGTGTCGATGTACAAACCATGCGCAAGCCTCATGCCTACACCATCTATTTATTAATGGGCACGGTCGGTTAGGGGGAAGGATTGTCAGTACTACTATTTGGCTTCAAAAACAAACAAAGAAATAAAAACAACAACAAAACAAAAAGCAAAACACATTGATCCATACTAGTTACTGATTTTAAACGGTGCCAGAGATTGTGTGGTAATGGAGCAATAACAGTGGTTAAGGTTGTTTAGAACCCTTTGGTACCCTGCAGGTTGTAGATGGCATCGCTAGTGGAAAGAACTCATTTCACCAATGGTTCCCTCTAAGCACTGTTTGTGAGCAATTAAGCAGCGAATTGGTGAAGAAGGACGTATTTATTGCATTAGGTTACTTATTTTCCAATGTAATAGGCTGGATGGAACATGGCGGTCTTGTCTGCCCGCACACAGAGTCCGAGTTCAGTTCGATGTCTCCCTCTCTAATGAATTGAAAGATAATCTAATCTAAGCTTTACTTTGTAACTGTGGAATTTTAATGCATCTTAAATCTGCACTTTTTTTTACTCGTTGCAGGTGAGAAGATTGTAAGCTTTTGGTCCAATTAACATGCTGGTGCCGTGACCCCACCCCACGCATGCTTGCTCAGTGGGCTGTGGGTGTGTTTGCTGCACGCTAGCCCTGCTGCAATAATTGCACTTTAGTAGAGGCCTAAAAAAGTATATTATCTGCATAAAGAATAGGAATTTTTTATGAAAAATATCTGTATAGAGTCTGGCTGTACCTATAGGACTGAGACTGTATAGAGTCTGGCTGTACCTATAGGACTGAGACTGTATGGAGTCTGGCTATACCTATAGGGCTATGTCAGGGATGGCAGTTTAGTAAGGGAAGCTCTCTAAATAATCTGTATTGTATTTGGATGACAGTTAATTAACCTGCACTAAATCCCAGCTCACACTGATAAATGGCTGCACCCAAGGGCTGATACTGACCGCGCAGGTTTAATGGACCTCAATAGAGAGATCTATTATGTAGAGTTTAATTCATGGACACAAGTTTTAGTGGGGATAAGAAACTTCTATCCAGCCATTGGCTACAGACTACAACTCTCATAATGCACAGCCACTCAGCACACAGTTCTTAGATGCTGTCTTTATATAGGGGCTCCCCTCCTTGGTAACAACACAGGGAATGATGAACCTTATATAGTGAGCTGTGCTGGGGGCAAATCAGGTCTGGGGGCCTTACACGTCTACTAAACTGCACTTATTCTGAAAGGGCCTCCCTCCCCCTTGCTATGCAGGCACATTGTTCAGTATTCTAAGAATTCTGTGGGTCACGCTGGCAGTGCCAGTCTCATACCCGGCTGTATCGTTTGGTTTGGTATAATATGTAATAAAGATGGAATGGTTTATGTGTATTTGTGTCGTTTCCTGGGTAACTGACCTTTATTCATCTTCAATGGTTCATATTGTCTTCAATTCAGCAACAAGTGGACTATGACGCCACATTGTGATCAGGGTGAGGAGCGTGGGTGGTATGCTTTGCAGGGGTCTCCTCAAGTCGCCATTGTGCATCCAGTTTATTTACAGGGTCCTAGACACAAGTAATGTCTACTGGGTTACAGTCTGCTTTAACTAAAAGATAACATTATAACCTTGTCATCTTAGCACAGGTTGAAAGAAAATGGTGACAGAAATCTCTAATTTTCTACCTTCACTCTGGGAACCTTCTCATGATTTTTTGGACAGACCGGGGCCATATTTCTTCACCCCCTCCCCCATATTTGTATAATCTTATGAGCTCAATTGGCCCAGTGAGGTCCATGGCTTGTACCATGTAATAATACATTACCTATATATGAACTTTGAGATGGGGGGCTTTAATGCAGGGGTCACATTCCAGATTCAATTTCCTATTCATAGGAGAGCAACATTTAATATATGTTTAATAGATCATCTTATATGTAATAGGTCATGTCATATCATTAAACATGACAAAAAGAAATGTGGTAAACCGCAACAAAAGTAGTGATTTATACAGAGAAACAGTGTCTAATAGTGTGTGTGTATATATATATATATATATATATATATATATATATGTTACAGTTTAAGTGCATAAATCAGTTAATGTGCACATTACCTAGTTAATCTGCAGATTAACTAGGGCGATCAGTTAAAGTGCAGAAAATGATTTTGTTTCTCAAATATTTCTCACATTACCTAGATAATCTGCACATTACCTATTAGGCACTCGTTAAAGTGCAAAAAATCATTCTGTCCTCCATCTCTCTGAGGGGCGCACACAGCTCTGGAGGACACCATGGTGTGCACAGGCTGCTGTTCTGTTCTTGTCTGGACCACATAGTCACATACCTCTTCAAATAGTTATCCCGAACTGGTAAGAAACGAGGAGCCCCCACCACCACAAGAGAGCGAGCGCTTCCTGCACATTATGCAGCAACACCCTGAAATGATCCCAGCAGATGCTCTCCACTGTTCTCAATATCATCATATATTTGAAGACTGTCAGAATCAGTGGTCCATGAGCAGACCTCTCCTTGGTCTCATTCTCCTTGATGAGAGAAGTATTTCTCGGACTTACGGAGCAGCATTGTTAGTAGCCAGCCCCCCTCTGAGAAGCAACAAGCCATGCGTCTATGCTTTTAGAATTTGATGGTGGAGGGCATTGAAAAGAACTTGCTCAAAAAAGAATCGAGACAGGTTCACACAGAATCTTTCTGCCTTCAGACGAGAAATGAACGACTCTGCAGAGACTGCACTGAAAGGGTGAAACAGGTTCTGCAAGGACGTTTTTGTAATAAATAATTTCCTCTTTTACCGAGGGAAAGAAACAAACATTTTGCACTTTAACTAGACGGAAGCAGTTAATGTGCACATTACCTAGGTAAAGTGCAGAAAACTCTTGTTTCCGCACTTTAACTGAGCAAATCAGTTAATCTGCAGATTAACTAGTTACCCCCCCTTCCCTCTCTTGCCCATTATTTGAAATACATTCAAATCGCCTTTTCAAACCCTTCTCTGCTAACATTGCGGTTATTTATCGGCCCCCTGGTTCCCCTCTTCTCTTCCTTGACCACTTTGCTACTTGGCTACCCTATTTCCTCTCTTCTAAAATTCCATCCCTAATTCTCGGGGACTTCAATATTCCTATTAACCCATCTTTGACCTCTGCAGCCTCTAAACTACTTTCAATTATTTCCTCCCTTGGGCTATCACAGTGGGCTAATTCTCCCACCCATGTAGCTGGCAATACCCTTGACCTAATCTTCACTTATGCATGTACAGTATCTAATATCTGCAACACTCCATTTCCTCTCTCTGATCACCACCTCTTATCATTTGCTCTCGTGTACCCCCTCACCCAACAACCTCAGCCTAACCCCCCCCCCAACTAAGGAGGGACCTTAATTCACTTGATCTCCAGCAGTTGTCAGCTGATATTGATTCACGACTGCTGTCCATCCCTTCCCTCTCCTGTCCTTCACTGGCCATCTCCACATATAACTCTACTGTTACATCTGCCTTGAACGCTGCAGCACCACTCCAAACAAGCACCTCGAGGAGGACCCGCCCCCAACCATGGCATACTAAATCAACACGCTACCTGCAAAGATGCTCCCGTTGTGCTGAATGCTCCTGGAGGAAGTTTCGCACCCAGTCAGACTTTCTCTATTATAGATTCATATTGTGTTCATACAGTGCAGCCCTTGCCCTTGCCAAACAGTCCTCCTTTTCCTCTCTCATTAGTTCATGCTCCCGCAATCCCAGGCGTCTCTTTGACACCTTTAATTTTCTTCTTCGCCCTGCTGTGGCCACCCCCCAAACTAACCTTACTGCTGATAACTTTGCATGTTACTTTATTGACAAGATTGAACCGCTAAGGAAAGAATTCTCCCCTCCTTGCCATTCTGTTTCTCAACCACATATAGATCATGCCTTTCCTACCCTTCAGACATTCTCCCCAGCTACTGACCAAGAGGTGGCTGCTCTTCTTTGCTCCTCTCGCCCCACCACTTGCCCACTCGATCCTGTCCCAGCTCACCTTATTAGATCTCTCTCCACTTGTCTCTTTTTTTTTTTTTAACACACATTTTCAACTGCTCTCTCTCTTCTGGCATTGTCCCTGCTGACCTTAAACATGCCACTGTGGTACCTATCCTGAAAAAAACATCTCTCGACCCGTCCACCCCCTCTAACTATCGTCCCATATCCCTGCTCCCTTTTTCCTCAAAGCTTCTTGAAAGACTTATCTACTAACGACCTAATTGCAGCTAAATTCAAAGGCCACTACTCCATACTTATTCTTCTTGACCTCTCAGCAGCCTTTGACACCGTTGATCATGCTCTCCTTCTTCAAACTCTTCAATCGCTTGGTCTCTGTGACTCTGTCCTCTCGTGGTTTTCCTCTTATCTCTCCCAAAGCTCATTCAGTATCTCTTTTTCTAATGATACCTCCTCCCCTCGTCCTTTCTTGTTTGGAGTCCCCCAAGGCTCTGTCTTTGATCCCCCTCTATTTTCTCTTTATACTGCCTCTCTTGGCAAACTTATTACCTCTTTTGGATTCCACTACCACCTGTAAGCTGATGACACCCAGTTATATCTCTCCTCCCCGGACCTCTCCCCTGCCGTTCTGCAACGTGTCACTGCTTGCCTTTCTTCCATCTCTGACTGGATGTCCTCCCGCTTTCTGAATCTCAATTTCTCTAAAACTGAGCTCCTTGTCTTTCCTCCTCCTAATACTGATCATCCTCTTTCGCTCTCCCTTCAAGTTTGTGGTACCCACATCAGTCCATCCTTGCAAGCGCGCTGTCTTGGCGTCATACTTGATTCTGGCCTCACCTTTGAGCCTCACATCCAGCAGGTTGCCAAATCCTGTAGATTCCATCTTAAAAACATAGCCCGCATCTGCCCCTTTCTTGCACCAGATACTACCAGTACCAAGGAGCTTGTCCATGCTCTAGTAATTTCCTGCATGGATTATTGTAACCCTCTCCTGATTGGTCTTCCTAAAAGCCGCACTGCACCGCTACAGTCCGTAATGAACGCTGCTGCCAGACTGATTTTCCTCTCTAGTCGTTTCTCTCACACCACACCCCTCTGCCAGTCCTTATGTTGGCTTCCTGTATGCTATAGGAGTCAATTCAAGGTACTAATTCACACCTATAAAGCACTGAACAACTCTAGCCCCTCTTATATCTCTTCACAGATCCATAGCTATGTCCCTTCTCGGTCTCGCCGCTCTGCTTGTGATCACCTCCTGTCCGTTGTCCGCACCCGTAGGGCCAACTCACCTCACGCTTGCAGGACTTCTTGCGGGCGGCTCCCTTCCTATGGAATAGCCTGCCTACTGCCATCAGACTCTCCCCTAGTCTTGCATCTTTTGAGAAGTGCCTTAAAACCCATCTCTTTTGGAAAGCTTATGGCCTCCAAGACTAACCTCTACCTCACATACCTGTCTCTTGCTCTCTCCTAAAGGGCAGCCCACCTTATTTGACTGCAAATTAATGTCCTAATGTGTTTTACATCCCACCTCCTATAGACTGTAAGCTCGATTGAGCAGGGTCCTCTTCAACCTATCGTTCCTGTAAGTTTATTTGTAATTGTCCTATTTATAGTTAAATCCCCTCTCATAATATTGTAAAGCGCTACGGAATCTATTGGCGCTATATAAATGGCAATAATAATAATAATGTGCACATTAACTGATTTCTCACTTTAACTGTAACATATGTATATATATATATATATATATATATATATATATATATATACACATACACTTGTTGGAGGTCAATAATTCAGTGTCTGTCTTTAGAAAACCTAAAAAAAAAAGAATAAGAAAAAATAGTGCAATATGTCCCGTTTATTTTAAAGGATTAACCCAATAAAAGACTGTCACACCTTTTAGAGCTACTAAGAGTTCTGTTGTATAACGCTTGGACGCTACAATCCCCATAATCCCCATGTGTGAGCATTCAATGTAATAGGCTTCCAATGGTCATTAACCATGCAAAGGAAAACAAACAGAAAATCCAATGGCACAATATAATGATGGCAAACTCCAAATAGTAAAGAGGAACGCCGTCACGGGGTACCATGCCCACATGTACCCACTCGCTTTCCTGCCTATTGTTTCAAGTCATCATGCTGGGGATATCCCTGTCTGTGTCGTCCCCTTGTTCGCAAATCATGTTTAGGCTTTATTGGAAGATTGCACTTGGCCCATTCTGAGGCTTAATTATTAATCTGTCGGTAAGTATTATATGATACTGGAAAACACAGGTTTGTTTTCATGAAAGCTAATGATCATTAACATAATAAAGAAATTAACTAATCAATTAAGTGTTACAGGCCATATGGTTGAAGTCAGTTAGTTTACATTGGAACTAGACAT